CGATGAACACTTCAATAAATTTAATTTCAGTTTTCGCCCGCGGCTATTTGCAAAACTAAGCTTGTAAGTAAAAACAAGTCGTGAAATATGTTTTGAGATATAACCAAGAAAGTTTTGAGATATAACCAAAACAGTGTAGATGTTGTTAATGATTAGTTAACTCAGATTATCGCAAAAATTTTAAGTAATTTCATTGTACCTTTTAAAACCTTGCATTTCCAAACATTTTCAACCTTAAATTGCATATTGATCCGGTGTAGATGTATGACAATTTTTGGAGACTTTTATTTAAAAAAGGTGTGACGATTGATAGCAGTAGTTTGTGACTGGTCTTGAAATAATTGTGTCTCTTTGAACAACTAACACTCCACTTTTTCGCTGCAATGTCAGCGCCGTCGTCACATTCAATTAGCAGAAAAATCATTTTCTAACGAGGCAAAAACTGCCCGACTTCGATCTATAGACCACCGTTATATTTTCTATCTTGCATAATTTCTTATCGATGATAAATTGGATATATGCGTATAGAATGTCGGGCTTCGAAAACGCTACCACGTGATTAATTCAAAAGTTGTAAACATCGTTTGCATATTTATAGCACTGCATAATAAAGAATAAGAATTCATAAGTAAGAAAAACAGTGAATTGAAAATAAACAGGCTCTGAAATAATTTTTTACTTCTGTAAAAATAAAAGCTATGCCATGGACACAATTTTTACGGGACTTGACATTTGAAACCGTGTTCCTACAGCATTTGAATATGAAAACTTTTTTTCTGGGCAGGTGAAATTGTATTTAAGACGGGGCTGATTGATTTGCAAATTACTGTGGGATAAATTTGTACCGTGTCATTACACAAAGCAACACATTTAAAAGCAGACATGAAATGCAATGGAAAAATGAATTAAAAAACAGGCAGCAGTTACTCAAATGTTTGCAAGATTGTCTATTTTCTCACCGGCTTCGAAGAAATTGTTTTTCCTTCAAATATTTGTGTTTATGAAGATAATGGCATCAGTAGGAAACCGACCGTTTTTGAGAGGTTGACAAAATTGTTGCGTGGCAACGCAAGACATTTCGTGTGCTCAGCTCTTGAAACAAGCGAAGCCTGCAGTTAATGTTTCAAAGAAGATTTCAACACTTGTTTTGCCCACCACGAGGTAAGTTCGCTAATCGAACGCGAAAACAAAACCGAACGGTGTCCAAATCTGGAATATGTATCTTGAAATTGAGCATATTCTCTAACGTGATGTACGTAGTTATAAAATTTGAACGTTTTTGAAAAAAAAAAAAATTCCCAATAGCTCATATATATATATATATATATATATATATATATATATATATATATATATCACTTTGAACTTATAAGTTGCATGAGATTTTAACACCATTTCGTTTGGTGATGTGACTTATGGTAGAGAATGCCTATGCTACAAACATCGATGTTATGGATATATAGCGATTCAACTCGGAACATTACATCAGGGATTTAGCTTCCTATGAGCAAACGATTTTTCTGCGTGGGTTATTTGTAGTGTTATGAGGTAAGGAAACGCTGAAATCAGTTTGTTCATGTTTCTATTAATAAATTCTACATAAAGAAAGAAGTTCTTGTGGGGGTGTATTTTATGAATGGTTAGATATATTTGTCGTTGTTATCTAACTTTATCTATGATTTGCTGAAACAACAAGTCATTAAGACATTGAGCGAGACGTTACCTAACTTAGCAATTGCTGAAGACTCGAAAGTCTTGAAATATTTATCAAAGAGGCGAGCAGATATGAAAGGCAGTGTTCGGCTTCACATCTCCTTTATACATTACACGCCATTAAAAAAGTGTCTGTCTTGGAACTATGAAAGCTCTTCAATAGCCTTATGAGATATTATCCTTTTAGCAGTTAGCTATTAAAACAATAGAGCCTCGATGAGGAGATAGCTTGTACAATTTATCATCACATTGACAGTTGGCATGAAAACAATATGATTCCATCTGTTAAAAATTGTACCTGAATAAGTCAAATTGCACTTGGTTTGCTAAAGTTTTTCTCCTTCGTCATGACAAGTGTTTCCCTGCAGTTAAAATTACTCAAGAACAAACGAAAAATAATAATTCGTGGTCTCTATTAGAGCCCATTACAATGGCAATGATTATTATCCAGTTACTTTTCGCAAACCGATGCTCCCAAACTGTCATGAATTTAATTCAAGGAAAAAAATACTTTTGGTATCGTCACAAGCTTGGGATAGCGAAAAATTCTGAGTTCCGATGAGGAACTGAACCTTAGGGCCTTCGGATGCCAAACTCCGATGTTTTAAGAGTAGTTTAACCAAGCACTATTCCTTAAAAGATAAGTATATCAACGCTACCCCTTTAATGTAGGGCTTCTTACCTCTGCACAATTATACGTATTTTCATACAGAAATGTCACTCGAAGGAACTTAGTGCAAGTCAGCTAGACATGTAATTTTGGCAAGAGGAAGCTGTTTGATTTTTTTTTTTTTCTGTTTGTTTTTTTTGTTTTGCTTTGTTTTTTTGGTGTGTGTGTGTGGTTAATCAATTATTTACCTATTTATTAATTATTATTTATTGATTATTTAGAGCTCTCTAAAGAACGCACATGAAATTTTACCATTTTTTTGGCTTTCAATGAAACTTCGTCCTGTTTTGAAAAAGGGAAGTGAGAGTTTTTGAAATTGATGGGCCTTCTGATGCCACACTGATGTTTTAAAAGTAGTTTAATCAAGCACTGTAACCTTAAAAGATAAGTATATCAACTCTGCCCTTATAGTGTACGACTACCTTTGCACAATTAGTTGCATTTGCATGCAGGAATGTCACTCGAAGGAACTTAGTGTAAGTTAGCTAGATGAGTAATATTGAAAAGAGGAAGTTGTTTGATTTTTTTTTTCTGGCTAATTTATTATTTACCTTGAGGCTTTTAAAGCTCTCTAAGGACCTCACATGAAATGTTTACCTTTTCTTTTGGCTCCCAATAAAACTTCTACCTGTTTTGAAAAAGGAAATTAATGGATGAAGAGTAATGTTGGGTATATGGACTCATGATTCAAGTTTGGTAATATTTGTCTCCTTTTTAGTATTACACGTATTTGAAGAGAGATATTTTGCTAGAAACTCTTTAAAGATGATTCAGAGTAAAATGCATATTGATCTAAAGGACAATTTCTTCTACGCAGTCAATAGTCAGTCATTAAGGCTACATTTAAAATTATCCACCACTTTACTGACGCTGAGGCAAATATTGTTTTCATTCAACTGGATGAATTTTACCGTAATACTTTATTTCAGCAAAAGAAAATGATGGTACCATTATGGTGAAAATTGTAGCGTGCGAAATTCATTGGCAATTGAAATTCAGTGAGTGAAAAACAATTCTGACTCGCTTTCACACGGCGGAGGACACATACAAATCCGTTAAAAGATTCATCGATTTCAACTTATTCCGGGTGCCAATTCAGTTTTATAAAATAATTCAAATAGTACGCGCGCTCTGATTGGCCATAAAACCATTTTACATGAGCGTATAAACACGGTTTTCGTTCCTCTTTCATTAGTTATTTTATAAAAGAATGTAAAATGGTTTCCGTGTTTACATAGCCTGGTTTCGTTGTTTCCTACGCTTATCTCGTGTTCTCCCAACCTCCCAAACAGGAAACCATTTTACATTTCTTCGCTGTTGTACCAATGAACACGAGACATTAATGTGTACAAACATACAGATCACTAAGAAAGTCAGTATCTGAGAAACTTCGCACCTACCCCTCCCTTAACCCAACATTAACCCTAACTTATCAGTTGAAGGTCATTTGTTTGGAGAGGGGTAAATGTACAGTTTCTCAGATACTAACAAAAAGTCAAATCCTAACGAATTAAATCAGTAAATGGGTACGTTTCCCTTGCAGATTGAAGAATAAGCTTTCAAGAAGCACAAGATGAATTTTAAAGTACAAAGTACCTTCGCCTTCATAACGATGGCTGTGTTAATCTGGAAACCAGTCTACATGAATCAAAATACCCCGAATGCACCGCGAAATGCATGTCTACTAAATGGAGCAAGCTTATCAGTTCTTGTCCATCCTCCGATGACCACTGACTATCGAGACCAAAACTTTAAAGGAATTTTGGGTGACTTTTTTGGCGAAATTATTGAGAAATGCTTCGTTGAACAGTGCCAAATATCCCCAAAATCTTTTAAAATAACGGTGTTTAACTCGACAGCGAGTTTTGTAGTAAGTATGAAAGAGAATAACTCGGATATTGCATTTCCAATCATGCGACCTCTAAAGATGTTTTTGACTAGTGACGACTATAATGGGTCACGTTTTCGTTTTGAGGAGTTCATGAAAACCCCATGGTATTCTCTGATCCTGGACGTGAAAAATTTCAATAGTAAAGCCAATTCAATCGTCTTCAAGACGCTGGGTGAGAGTGTGTGGCCTATTGTCATCTTCACACTTCTTATAGCTGGCATCTCAGGAATATGTGTGTGGGCTTTGGTAAGATATCAGTTATTTAATAAATGAATCCCTTCAGGCGGCTGGTACATCGACTGATAAATCCGCAGCTGAGATATTGTCTGAGAGATACCGAATATTTGGCCAAGAAGCAAAGCTTTGAAGGCAAATGCGAAATTTCGGGGACAATCTCACAGCCGAAGAAATCATCAGCCGACGTATTAGTAAACCAGAAGGCTTACATAAAGGTTTGTTTTGCTACTTCTTTGTTCTTTTCGGAGCAGCATTTGTGATCAGCTTTTTAATTTCACAGTATAGCGAGTTCGTGAACTCTGGTGCTGGCTTTTCCCCGCTTGCTTTTGTTTCTTTTCGCTGGAAATAATTCCTGGACAAATTTTGACGTAGACGGGGGTTATTTCGTGATAACTGTCCAGAGATTTTGCATCATGTGACATAAATTAGCCGATAGAATCGCACAAAAATTAAAGGGTGGGCTATGATCTATGATAATTGTAGAGTTATCAGGTTTTCTTTTTCCAGTTTAAGTATGAAAATTCTCTATATGGCTTTCTATTACTGTGGGTGTTGAATGTAATCAAGGGACCTTTGGAGGCTTAAGAGTCGTGAGAGGCGATGATAAACCACGTGAGCTAAAGGATCTCAAGGATGGGTATTATTGTACAGAATTCCTGACAATTGGAAACTGAATTTAGTTTTAGTACGTCTTCCGAGATTTACATCCTGTAAGGTGGATCCTTCAAATTAAGCGATTTGTTTCCCTAAATTGTTAACGTTTGGCCAAGTTTAAGACAAAACGAGAATAAACCGCAGTTTTTAAGTTTAACTTGAAATCTTAGACTTCCAAGTTTACAATTAACGTAAATCTCCCCTAGGATGTTCAATTTTCGTTCTTTGGAAATGTTCTTAGCTAATTGCAAGGGCAGATATCTCTTTGATACAAAAAACCTAAGAGAATTACCAGGACAAAATTATATAAATGGTTTTCTCTGTTTCAGGAAACTTATTTCAATGAAGAGGAATTCCCCCGTTCTTTTACAAAGGGGACATACGAGGGATTTTGGTGGGCCTTTGTCTCCATGACGACCGTAGGGTAAGATTTTTACAACTTTAAAAGGGTTTTTGGAATGGATGGGGGTACAAATAGAACACTAGAACTAGGTTTTTTCTCTTACGATCTCTCGGGTGTACAGGGTAAGGTAACGCTTCATTGTTGTATATTGACGAGAGTGAACTGGTTCAAGAAGAGATGAAAACTTGCAAGTGAGAAGCCGTTGTCTCGCCCCAATCTCCCCCTGTGCCAATTTCTTATCGTCAAATTTTCGCTGAGTAAGGAAAGAGAAACAGACTGTTTGAGTTCCAGGGAGACAAGGTATTTGCTGCTGCCTGATAAAAAATTAAAAAATGATAATAGATTTGTTACCATTTTCAACACAGTCTAAATTGAATTAGAACGACCTTAATTCATTGATCGCATTACAGGTACGGAGACAAAACCCCAAAGTTTGTTTTGGGCCGTATGTTTGGCGTGCTTTGGATCTTACTTGGCTTGGTTGTCATAGCAATGTTCACAGCCACAGCTACAAGTGCTTTCAGTATCGATGTCGATGCCTTGGCACGGGTGACAGGACAAAGAGTAAACCAAAACACATTCTTTACTAGAAAAATATATAAATGTAACAGTCCTATCATTATGACGTAAAAACCCAATTGACCAGGTTGTAATTAGCTTGGTCTTGCACCTGATTCGCTGAGAGGATGCTAGATCGAGTTTTGATAGTCCTATACAATGTTGAAGTGATTGGTTAAAAATAAGAAGTAAAGGTTTGCACTGCCAACGAAATTAATCGTGTTACTGCAACGTGACTTCATCGTCTCGATTGACTGTAAATAGGAGTGATCGTGTTAGGCCTCTTTCGAGATTCTATCCGCCATGTGCCGCGACAGTGGTCGATGGGCGAACTACTCACAATACGAGGCACTTTCTCTCTCTGCTCTGATTATTTATCATAATGAGCCCCTAGCAACTACATTGTGCAGTTTTGGTCTTGTAGATGAAATTTTAACAGACGTGTAACGTGATCGCATGTACTGAGGATCGATCAACACGATCGAGTCGCACCGTATTTTAAGATTAACTAAGATGGAAGATGAACCAAATACCAATCTTTTGCTCCCGGTGGCTTGTCGAGACATTTAAGTGGTAAAACTGTTATTCGTGAAGAAGTAAAAGCAGCGAGGGAGATGAAGGTAAGTTAAGAAACGTGTGTTATTGATGTATTTTCATTTCCTTCTCAGATTGGCGTAATGAGTAATACAACAGCGAGATTAGAAGCGAATAAACTAGGAGCCAAGGAGGTGAAAGGTGAGTCGGCAAGCTGGGTTATTTTTGTCTTAATATGCAAACAATAAGTTTATAAAACCATTTTCGACAAAAATCGAGAGGGGCCTCTCTTTCAGGACAATGCGCAGTAATAAAAAGGGAAACGAAAACGCAAACAAACAAAAAACCTCCCAAGCTATAGTGAGTATCAGTTTATCACGAGATCCAAAGAATACAAATAAAAAAAAATATTTCAGTCTCCAATCAAGAAGAAAAGTAACATCCATGGTTCAGGAAATCCCCAACAGCACCGGCACCGTAGTATAAATGGTTTTTGACCAGAAGTAAAACTTACCGGATCTTGTCGTCTGATCGTCTAGGTGGAAGAATTCTGAAAATGAAAATGACTGACGTTTTGACAACCTGAGCGAACGTCATCATCAGATTCAAGTTGGAAACTGTTTGCCATTGAAGGGCCGATTCTGGTTCGTGAAACTAATCGCTAGGTCAGTGATGCTGTTGGCTGCAATTAGCTGTACAAACCATGATAGCGGCAACTACTGTGAAGTTGAATCTGATAATAACCCACTCAGGTTGTCGTTTACAGAACAGTGGAGCTCCGCTAACTCGGACTCATATGGGAAACAATAATAATGGTTCAAGTTAAGGGGTTTTGATTAATCGGGATTGGTGCTGAATTTCAATTTTCCTATTACAGGGTGTAATGACTAATAGAAAGTCATGTTTTTTCTATTCTTACACAATCTGCATTCATATTCGCACATTAAGTTTGTTTTATGTGGGAGCTTTTTGATAAGAACGTTAAGTTTGGGAAGTTTAGCTAAATATAACACTTTTTCATAAATGTTTTCATGTTTGGTTCAATCGCGATCAAATTAAGATTGGAACACTTTGACGTTTGTTGACCGACGTTTCTAGTTAAATTTCGAGTTATCAGGGTGCATTTGAGCCAAGGGAGAGTTAAATAGCTCGGGTCACGCAACCAAGTTCAATTAGCTGATACTAATTGACTTGATATATTGGGTCAAATCCTGAGGAAATCGCATTTTGTTCGAGTTAACGGGGTTCTACTGTACTGCTCTCTACTGGAAGAACAGAATACAAGTGATCACCACGAAACGAATTCCTTTTTAGAGTTTGCATCAAAACAAGCCTTGCTGAGTGCCCTTCGGAAAAATGAAATAGAAGGCATTTTCATGGACAAGTACATGGCTTCCTACATGCTCTACAAGCAGAATGACTCAAATTTCAAAGTATTTAAAGACTACGAAGAGAAAATTCCTTATGAACTGGCATATCGCGATAGCCCACTCTTCAGAGATGCATTTGAAAGGGAGACTTGCGCTCGTAATCTCCTTCAGAAAAGTTTTGTGGACAGCTACCTTATGAAGTACCTAAAGCCAGTTGCGGTAGGCATCATTCATACCTCAATAATTTTTATGGTGGTTTAAGGCACGCCCAATTTGAGTGCGACATCTAATGCAAAGAGCAAAGGATTCGTATCTGAAAATGTGAAAAGGTATTGATAAAATAAGCCAACGAGCCGATTGGCTCAACTGGCCGGACCTTATTCCGGTTTAAAGAAGCGTGAAGTGACCACCTAGGAGTATTGCTTCCCTTGGATGGTATTCTAGCCCATCGTTACCTCTCTACATTTCTTCAGGCCTCCCTGGCATTTCGCCGCTACCTGCTTATACTCCCGGATAGAGGGGGGCACTGTGAGAACAAAGCCTGTCTTGCCTAAAAACACAACACAATGACCCAGCCAGGTCTCGAACCCAGATCTCTCGAACCAGAGTCTATCGGACAGTCCGTCAGGCCATGCACTGCATCCACCGACGCGTCTACCGTTACTCTTGAAATAACTGCATATTTGTTTTTCAGGCGTACAACGCCGATAGCGACGCCATTAGCCCGTTCTCTGGTGAAAATCCTTACACTCGCAAGTTCCTGTTAATCATCATGGGCGTGTTCCTTGGTCTTTTATCCATTGGGCTTGTGGCAGAAGTTGTGATCAGAATCATCAAGAGGAGAAACAAAAAAGTGAAGAACGTTGCAGGTATTAGCAGAAACTAGAACGAAACACTTTTTTGGTTGTTCAATATAATCCCTTTTTTTGCAAGAGAAAAACGAACTTCCTCTGCATACATACATAAAGGCAAAAAAAACTTAAACATATATGTGACCTTTATTTCCTCTCGAATGAGTTCTATAATTTGAGAGTAGCTACATAGAATTAGCTAATATCTTCGAGACATAAAAACGTTAACAAAAACAAAACAATGTCAAATATATATATATATATATATATATATGTATATTTGAAGGTTGAACTAATTAATAAGACAACTTTTCTGTGACTCTGAGTTTCCCGCTTACGCGATCATATATATGTATATATACACATATATATATTTGAAAAAATATATATATTTGAAAATACATATTGAATATATATACCTTTTCTCTTCTCATCTCTAGGTATATATATTCAATATGTATTTTCAAATTGCAACGTTTTTGAAAATGGAAATATATATATTAAAAAATATATGTATGTAAATAAATTATATGTATGCATGTACATATATATATATATATATATATGTATATATATATATATATATGTGTGTCTAATATGTATATGCATATGTATATATATGTGTAAACGTATATGTGTGTATATATATGTATGTATGTACTATAGCTTGGTCCATTGGTAGTGGATCTACCCTTGTACTACCTGTGGATCTACCTATGGTCCATTTTTCCTGACCGGTAGGGACTGTAGGCTCAACAGATCTTAATGGTTATCCTACTTATCACTGAGAAACAGCCTCACTTTATGATTCGATGTATTTTTAGATACAATGTGGTTCCATCTGTTAGTCAAACACTATATGAGAAGCTGAATTTACTCTGAATCATTCAAATCCTTTCCTTTCCTTTTCCAGGTGAAATCGACTTGAAAGAAGTGAAAGTGCATAATTCCAAAGGACACCTTAAAGATATTGAAGATAAAGTGAGTCAACTGGTGAACGAAGTCGGTAAACTGCAAGCGCAGCTGGCGGCTATGTCTTCTTCAGTAAACGGCACTCAGTTTGGGGGACAGCACACTCCCCACTTTTAGGATGAAAGCAAGGAAGACTGAACTCCCACACTATTCTCCACTCATAAAGCGACCCTGAAATTGAGTTTTCTTTATGCAGTTCTGCACTTGAAGAACACTTACCGACGACCGGCAAGACCGTTCTTATATTTCCTTTAAGTATGAAATTCGTATAGAGTGAAAAAGATAGTTATCGTTGGAAATTCAACTTTACTTGGCTTAATTACCAATGTAGCTGTAATCCATCCTCGAAGAGACATCTCTAGCTATCCCCATAGGACTCAGTTCTTGATGTCCTTGGGATAAAAGTTGCATCACACCATCATCGATGTACAGGATGGATACACAAGAACTTACATTCAGAGAACAGCCCCGAAATAAGAGGAAAATATTCTATATCGTAAAGGAGTCCAAAAGAAACCCCTCTGTATAAAATGATCATTAAGGGACCTTATGATCTCTTGATTCTTTACGAATCTTAACCCTTTAACTCTCAAGATCTCATTTACTGTCTGACATACAATTCTTATGATGTCAATTCGGAGAATTTGGTATTGGGTCAACTGATAATCCCCTAATTGATATTTTACTCTATTCTAATCACCTCTATGCTTCATATTGTATTGATATTGTAAGGAGAAATTCCCTCTTGGTCACTCATGGGAGGTAAAGGGTTAACGTTACTCTAAATATATCGCATTGGTAATATATATTATTGTGAATAAGATTTTCTGTAGCTCATTGGTAAATATCTAGATCTCGAAGATTAAAGGCAATTTAGTCAGTTTTTAGACCAGTAAAGAAAGTGCTGTGAAGACATACTGGTCCTTGGTAATGAAAAAGAACCTTTCTGTCTCAGTGTTTCACTTTCGGCTCAGGCTTCTCATACAAATAGTCATTTCTAAACGACAAAATTTGTTTAGCTCTCAGCACGTGAAAAAGGCCTCAATAATTTGTTAATACCTTGTAAAAGAAGCGTAATAAAAAGATGAAACTATGGTAAAATTTAAGGCCATGAACTACGTGAAGATAGCTGCTCACAAAATATATGCCATTCGCTCTGACGAAAGGCTAACGCTCGAAGCGTCAGCTTAAAAACTCTTCACGGTGGCCAATTTACGTTATCAACTCAGTTGATAATACCGAGCACCGTAGTTTCCCTTTACCACCTTTATTCATTTGTGATTGAAATACTTTGTAAAGCGATATTTTCAAGTTGGCCATTCTCTGTGCTCGTCTGTGCTCAATCAACCTTGTTCCCTTTCTTTCATTCTTACCTGTTCCCTTCCAGAAAGCCAGGCTACTTAGCCTTTATTGAAATGTACTTTTGCAGATAAAAAAATAACGTGACGCACCCCCGGCCCTATATTCCTACCTTCATGGACAGCTGGATATTTAAGAAAAGTCAAAATTGTTTAGATGAACATGTCATTCACTTAAGGCGAGAATGGGACGAAAGTTAGTCCTCCTCGATAGATCGAACTCAGACCTTCGGATAATAAAGGCATCACACATCTATCACGAACGTGAAACAAAGAAAAGTCTTTCGGGGAACTCAAATTTTTTCTTGGCCTCAAACAACTAGCTAGTAAATAACACCTTTTTTTTCGACGATTGAGCTAAAAATTACCATCTTTTTCATATTTTAAAAGTTTTTTTAATTTTTTAATCCAAGTTTATCTTTATCTTAACCTTAAGTTTAACTCCTTAGTGACTGTCATCTTAGGTAAACTTTTAAGTAGGAGTTTTACTTTTATTACGATAACCTGAAACAACAAAATATATCGTTAAGCGATTTTTTAATTTCTACCTAAAGCTGCCATAAAGGACAGCTGGTAAACGAAAAGAGGATTTTTTTTGCATACCCTATATGAGGTTTGACGCTAAGATAATATACCCTAAAGGGACTGTTATATCCCGATCCAATTAGCACCGAGGAAGATAATTATGTAAATGCTTTTTGGTGAACATTTTCATAATAATCACTATTTCACTAAAGGCAGTGAATTCAGTGCTGGTGCACCATCGAGCACTGTGATAAATAACACAAAAGTCGTTTGAAGTAAGTATTTATAACTTTATCACGCGAATTAAGCGCTGAAAGTGACTAAATTCAGTTTTTCTATCGTTTCTACATCGTTTGTTGTGCGGTATTGAAAAACTTTGACGATATAAACTGTGAGTGAATCAACGTTACTTTGGTGAATAACAACGTGCATCAAATTGCCGAGGTCATGAGCAGTTGAACAAGCTCGACTAAAGTTATGTTTAGCTTCCATAAGTCTCACTTTCAGCATGTTTCTTCTCCAGATAAATCCGATCAAACGAAAGTTTTAGGAAGCGAGAAACGCTTGATTTTTTGGTTAAGTTAAGATGTGCGCAGCTTTTATGATTTTATTGTTAATTGATGATAGCGTTTATTATTAGGGAAGACCTTAATATCTATCTGATTATAGAGTTATAGTTCCAGATGCTTTGATAGCATGATAAGGCATAACTTTCTCCAAGTAGTTTCAAGAAATTATACAAATGGCCTTTTAATCTGAAAAGAAAATGAAGAATTATATACTGTCTTCTTCATACAACAGCTGATAATCAGAGCTTTAGAGGTTAACATAAAATAGAAGGGGAGGTCAAATTCTGTATTAAAAGCGAAAAACTATTACGTGTAGCTAGAAGGGTATATAGAATATTGAGATTAGTCTAGATTTTCCTCAGCGCAATCTTTACTTTTGATCGTCTTTAGTTGAAGGCTTATAAAAATGAAAGTTTCAACTTGTCGCAAAAATTATGTTCAGGTGCACCGCTGATAAAGTAAGGAGCAGGCATCTACTATTCAACGCTACGAAACAGACAATTATTTGAGGCTCTACAATCTTCAGAGAACATACAAGGTATCGCGTAAGTACAAAAATCAAGTTCTTTAGAGTCACTTTCAGCATTACATAGGGTTGTATTTAACCCCTCTGCACTTGACTTCTCGCACACATCACATTATATAAAGATTCAGTATAAACAAACCTACACGAACGCAATTGAAAATGATGACTTTCCTATTTTTGGTGATGATTATATTACATTGCTTATCCATAACCTCTGTTATTTGCATTCATAGTGAAATAAAACACCAAAGTAATAACAAAACTTAAAAAATATAATGAATATGGTTAAACATGGACGAATTCGATATAACGAGTTCGAAATGTTTACGGTTTAATTTTTCACGATAGTCATAGCATTAACTTTAACGTTATTTCTTAAGAATTAACATCTTGGACTTCTTAAACTGAGGAAAAGCTTTGATGAAAACCACTCAGCAGCAAACATTTCCCGATTAACTTTTTCTAAGATCGGCTGTTTTTTCATTCACTGATAACCCACAGACACGTACCAATACAAGTATTGTTTCAAAAACACAGGCTATCGGGACTCCCTGGAAAAGTGTTTGATTAACTTCAATGTGAACAGCTTAGTTTATCAAAACAGAGTCTGCCAGTTTCTCACGAAAATAGAACTTTCTAGAGCCCGAAAACATAATAGATGATTGAATTTTCTCAACACAAGTCTACCGGACGGTTGAATTATTTAAATGTATGAATATATTTAACAACGCATGCTATGAAGATGATTATCTGTTTTGGTACGGTTACCAGAAAACACAAATTTTGACGCAGTATTTGACGTTAAATCGTTTCTTTTTATCATCAAAAGAAAAAACCTTGAAATAAATTTACAAACTTTAAGAAAAATCCTATTTTAAGTTGTCACAAAGGCAGAAAATAAGCCTTTGCTCTTTTTTGCTACTGCAAATATACTCTCGATTGCAAAAACTTTGACACTTAAAAAGAGTGACATTTCGATGAAACCCAACGGCTTTTAAGGGAAATTTTCGCACGGTTACAAGATCAGTGTTAAATTATTCTTCTCTCATTGCAAATCTTTGTTTACGTTGATTGTTTTCTTTCATGAAAGCGGGTAGGGCTTCTATCGTTTACCACGTGCAGCTAATGATGCAACTATAGTCTATAGTGGTTATCACATAAATGCTCATAAAGCAGTTCGGCCTCATCGTTAGCTTCTTACGCTTTTTAGATGTCAACGCGTTTGCAATCGAGTTTATACTGATTAAAGCTCGCAGCTTAAGATCTAGGTCTACTCGATGGGAAAGTTATTTATTCATGTTCTGTGGCTTGAGACTTTTAGTCTCTCACCATTTCCATATTGGAGTACATAACCGCTGATGGTACAAAAATCCTTACTGGCACCTAATTTTCATTGGCAATCTGAAACAATCAAACACCGAAAAAAAATTAGGAATATGCGCTGACATGAAGACTAAAAGACGCAACTAGAACAAATGTTGCGGTTGTTTTCTATGTTTCTGTTGCTTCCGAATCACTTCTTCCAATTTGGATACCACTCAGTCCTTGTGTGGTAAATTCAGTTCAATGAGCAACACTAAACCTATAACTTCTACCAAATAAAATTGTATGAAACTACTGATGCCTTAATGATCAAAACAAAGAAGGGGATGGGGTCGCCTCTTGCGTGATGTGAAGGGATTGGTGTGCCGCCGACACCTTGAAATCCTTGAAAACCCCCTGAAAATTTTATCGTTTCACTTCTCTGCCAAAGAAAAATATGGTCATGGGTTTGTGCTTATTAACCTCGCGGAGCCCCGCTTAACATATTCATGAATTTCATAGGCAGCATCATACCAATGACATTAGAGGGTCTTACAAACGGAGGGGGAGGGAGGCTAATGAATGCTCTGCTGACTACCTCTTTTGAACATTGTTACAAAGAAGTTAGTTTTCTGTAAATTTTATCTTTCAGAAAGCAGAATTTCAAAGGAGTTGTTGCTAGCCACGATAAAGGAAGCGCTTTGATAAAGATGATGTTCGCGGCCTGCGTAACAATAACTTTACTGCTCTGTAGACCAGCACTTACGAACACGATAGGAAGTCGTGATCGATCTGTGGGATGTCCACATTCTCGTCAACAATTTACAGTATCAATTCTTGTGATTCCCCCATATACCATCATCTCTGATTCAGGCGAATTAATAGGCATACTAGGAGATTTTTTCGATGATATTATCCACAGATGTCTTCTTAGATTTTGTGGTTTGTCTAAGGATGCCTTCAACATGACTTTTATTAACTCGAGCAAAGAATTCCAAATGATCCTACAGAACAATATGACGGATTTCGCCTTGCCAGTATCCAAGCCAATGCAGTTGCTTCTCCGTCCTGACGACCATGATGCACAGCCACTTATGATGGTTGAACAAATCATAAGTTCTCCCGGCTATTCGCTGATAATGGACGTAGAAAATGTGAATGTCAGAGCCAACAAAGCCGCACTTATCAAGTTATACACAGAATCTTGGCCTATTACAATCTTTGCATTTGTGATCACTGGAATCTCTGGAATGGTCATATGGATCCTGGTAAGTATCACCTATTTCCCAAAATATCTAATTAAGTTGCAATTTTGCTCGGCCATTCAAAAACCGCGATATATCAATTATTTTTACAGAAGAACTATGGTTTGCGAAAAAAGCAAACTTTATCTCATTTAAAAGCAAGCCACTATACAAAACCGAATTGAAATATATGGTGGATAATGTAGAAAAGCCTTTCCCTTTCTTTCCTCACCTCTTCCTACATAGGAAATAGCAATGGGGGAACTTTAAAATGTATAAAGGGTAACAAGGTCAGACAGAGCAATGTTTCGGTCCTTTAACGTCCCCTGCTAACCAGTAAAGTCCAGGCCTACGTTTATCGTCCTCTCCTGCAAAGACTAGAGTGTCTAACCATTTACAGATGTCACAAAAATAGCAGCATACTCTCATCAGCTATTTCAAGATCTTGAGTGTTGGTCCCGCCTGGGTCTTGAACCCTACATCTTCGGCACGACAATCAACCCGGTGCTCTATAAAATAAGATAACCAAGTGCAGTTATGAAGATAGTGTCTATCTTTCTTTCAGGAAACGCACTTCAACGATGAGGAATTTCCCCGTTCATTTGTAAAGGGTTCCTATGAAGGCTTTTGGTGGGCCTTTGTTACCATGACAACAGTTGGGTAAGATAAACGTCCATTTTAGAGGGTACAACACAGGCAGTTAATGTCATCAACTTTGCAAGGCATTTCATGATCACTTTGAACCCAATATCCTCTCTAAATCCAATCATCAATTCAAAAGGTCCAAAAGGGTTGGCTACCGACACTTTTGGGTTATATCTACAAAAATTGCACAAGAAGTTTAGAATTGGTTTTGGGCGGTTTCTTGAGGAGTTCAAGGGGAGATGTGTGGAAAGCAAAACTAGTGGGTTTCTAAAACACCTCAGGGATTGTGACGAAATTCTGGAGGTTACTTGATATTAATACGAGCAACCTTTCTAGGTAAGGTGACAGGGAACGTCTGGTTTAGTTTTTATCTTTACTGAAGCTTACCTCCATTCTGAGAATATAATGTTGTAAATTTGATTTGTCTTTGCTCTACTTCAGTTACGGAGATAAAACTCCCAAATTTATTTTGGGTCGCGTATTTGGAGTGTTCTGGATTATGTTTGGTTTGATCGTCGTTGCTGTCTTTACAGCTACTGCCACTAGTGCAATTAGTACGAGCATAGATAGCTTCGTAGGAGTTGAGGGAAATAAGGTATGTGTGTGTGAAATAGTTTTTTGTCTCTCATTTTTGTTACCGTCTTCTGAGAAATGTGGGCATGTTGGACCGTCGATGGTGCTTCACTACCGAACCCTTTACATCTTCCTATCATATTTTGCATACTGATCTCCATACTTCTCTTGCAATATTGAAAAGGAAAATTTTTTTCACAAGCGATTCTTTTCCTAATGATCATTTCCTTTATTCTCATGGTCTTAAGCCTAGATACTGTAGGTTGAAATTGGATACTAACCCTTAAAGCCCTAATATCAACATGTATATTCTCTTCACCATTCTCCATGTTTCTTATTTTAGCGATTGAGAGAATTTGTTCAAACATAAAGACATTTCTTCTTTTGTGATCATTTCAATCATTCTCATGATCTGTAGATTTGATCAGGCAGTGGTATTGTTAGGAGAAATTAGATGCTGGTCACTATTGGGGTTAACCTGAATTGACACTAAACGAATTAAGCTGATAGACATCGAGATATAGCGCCAATAGAATCGCAATAATGTAAGCATGAAGATCAATTATTAAAAACACAGCGGCAGGTCAGTAAAAAACGGATCTACGAAGCAGAATTAAATTGAGGCGAAATGTGCCAATGAAGGCACGCAAAAACGCATCAAGGGTAGTTGATCATTTGCTGGATAATAGCGACTCGAAATCTTTTGATCATTTCGCCTGAGACTAGCAACTAAGGAGCAGAGAGGTCGCGGTTCTCCGTTGATAGCTTGACTCAACAATTTATTCTGTCTCTAAATCGTGAAAAAAACGATTAAACATTCATTTATCATCACTTTAAAAAATAGATTTCATGTTGCTGCGAGTCTGTTTAGTAATAGATTGCAGATGACTTAAAATGTACTAAGGACAAACAAATAGCACTTAAGGCGCAGCCGGGTGTATGTGTCACTGATGTTCTTACCACGTTCTGGCGTCGTCTGGGATCTATTACTAAACTGACCCATGGCAACACGAAAATTATGAGTGTATTATGAGTGTATTACCAGCATTATTATGAGTGTATTACCAGCAAAAAGCCTTAGACTAAGTCTGTATGACTGAGCAAATTAGGAAGAGAAACAAGGACGTAACGTGTTCTTCTACTTTCCATTTGGTTTTCAGATTGGTGTGTTGAATAGCACGTCGGCAGAGTTTGAGGCCAGAAAAAAAGGAGCATTTGTCAAGAGTAAGCCTTACAAAAAATCAGGCCATTTCAATCCTACATACAAGAAAAAATCGGACCACACTCTTAAATTGATATACAGCCCAGTTATATAATCAAAACCTTGGGGGTAAAGTGTGTATTGAAATAGCTATCTTACACTTTACAAAACTTGACGGCAACATTTCGTGTTCACGCTAATCAGCAACGACCGCATACAACACAAAAACCTTTCCGAGGCAAAACCACAAGCGCGCAAAGCCTCTGGGGTGTGGATGATCTTTTAAACGAATTTAGCTGTTTCGTCTCCTCGAACTAGTTTGAGGGAAAGTTCACTTTGATATACCTAGCATGAAGTTCTCCTCCTCTTACAGAACAAATTCTCTCCTTTTTAAAGGAATTACGGCTTTTGAGTGAAACATTCTACAGGCGACATAATAATTAACCCCCCTTCCCACCTCCTATAAACTCACAAATCCTCATAGATTGGTCTACATTCATTACCTGGTGCCTGAGAGGAGTCACAGAATTTTGGTTGGGTTTACCTGACCTGATACCCCTTGTAGTCAACTCAGTTATGTAATAATCCAAGAATCCCCTCTCATTGGAAGTCAGTTTTTATAGTCCTCTTATATACGACTAATTCCCCTCCGTTTCCCCTAAAAACCGTGCGACCATCCCACCCCCCCTGCAAAAAAAATAATAACCCTTCCGTCCCTCTGGCGATGAAAAATCAAAACCACTAAAATTCATCCACAATACAGCTGATAAATGTTTTCCTAATAGGTTTTTCGTCAATTGAAGAAATGTTCTCCAGCCTACGGAGTGGTGAAATAGACGGTGTTCTCATGGACAAGTTTAGAAGCCCAGAGGTTCTGCGTGCAACGAAAGATAGGAATTTCAGAGTGTTTTCTGGCTACGATGCAAACGTCCCATACTACCTTGCAGTACACAACAGTTTGAGGAGCCTGTTTGAAGGGGCGTCATGCATCAAAAACAGGATTAATAACCAGGATTTGGAAAACCTGTTTATCAAATATCTCATGCCCGTGGCGGTAATAACACAACTCCTTATTGAGACATTAACTTTTATCCTTGTACATTGTTTGATTGTTTTTGTTTATTTGTTTTGCTTGTCTCATGTTTTTTTTTCGAGCCATGATCACCTGGACCTATTCTAATAGGCTATTTCCAAGTTCTAAGCCTTCTTACTTTTAACCCTTTAACTCTCAGATCAAATTTGTACTTCTCCTTACTGTCAATCGTACAATTCTTATAATATTAGTTCAGAGAATTTAGAATTGGATCAACTAATTATCCCCAAATTGATATTTTTCTTTATTTCCATCACTTATATAGTTGATATTGCATTGATATTGTAAGAAGAAATTCTCTCTTGGTCACTCATGGGAGTTAAAGGGTTAAAATATGAACCATAAGTTTTTTCATATTATCTTACTTCCAGGTGTACAATAGTGAAAAAGACTCCTACGCTGTGTTTTCTGGCCACTCACCTGAGACGAATAGATTTTTGGTCATCGTCGTGTGTGTGTTCCTGGGTTTCGCTTTCGTTGGCATCACAGCTGAAGTCATTTATAAGACTGTGAGGAAAGGAAATTTGAAAGTGAGAAGTAGGGAAGGTATGAATTCTTAATGATCTTCCTCACTGTGGATATACTTAACAGTTTGCTTAATTAAGTTGGCCTAGTGTCGACGGATTGAAAGGATTCGCATTCAAAACGGGGAAAGGAGACAGTAAGGTGTGTCCATGGGTGCACACGCAAAAAAAGAGTGATGCACTTTCCATTTGGACGGATAGCTCGTTTTTTTTTTATTCTTTATTTTTTTGGCGTGTTAATAACATCGAACTACAGAGGTATTTTATTTTTCTCGCAGTTCCTAGCTTGGGTGTCACATGTGGGTTGAGTTCATTGGTTGGTCTCATCCTCTGAGGGTTTTTCTCCGGGTTCTCCGGCTTCCCTCTCCCCACAAAAACCAACTTTCCAAATTTCGATTCGACCTGGAAACAGTGGACAAGAAAAGCCACATCGTGGAATGTCCAGTGATAAATTATTATCATTATTATTATTATTGTTCAAGAGGTTACGATCTCTTGTATTATTATGATTACCGCAGATTGGTTGAGTAAGTACGGAAATCAAACAGGTGGGGATTTGATGCTTTTCTTGTTTTTTTTTTTTTTTGCAATGAACGTGATAAAAAATTTCCTTTAAACAGACCGGGAAAACGGAAATTATTTGAGGGAAGTTGGCGAGCACAGTGCTAGTAAACCTAACTTGGCAAATGTGGAGAACAAGTTAAGACAACTGGTCGAAGAGGTCAGCAAACTACAAGAGCAAATTTCAGCCAAAGGACGGCGAAGCACAACTCACATGTGACAGACAGTGGCACATCTCAGTTGCAATTTTTCCATGGTCATTTGGTCACCAGTGGAAACCAATCATAGAAGCGGTGAAGCCAGGGGGATGAAATTTTATTTTCAATCCTTGATGTTACTAGAAGCAAGAGTAGAGAATGGGGAATGGGAAAATAAAATGGAAAATTGAAAATGGGAAATCAGATTTCTCATTTTTTTGTTTAAGATTTACCATTTATAGTGAGGAACAGATATTTTTCATCGATATCCACTTACTCTTTAAAAAACATTCAGGGAAAAATTCAAGGAACGAAATAAATTGATGATACGGAAGAGGTGAGCTTTGAGGAACATATAATATCCGTGGGCAAATGTACGAGTATATTTTTACGCAAAGTAGAGGCTATTGTGTTTCATATCCTTCAAATATTTTGCAACGCGATTGAAAAATTGTTTACGAACAGCTCACTCTTTTCTACGGGGGAAGTTTTCTTTTTGAGTGTTCTTTGGTACGAATTTATGAACAAAAAAATATTTCCCTTCTTCTGTAACAACCAAAAAACAAAAACGCTCTCTCATCTGAGAGCATGAGCGTGAGGTTTGAAAATTGTGGAATATTATTCGGGTAATATTCGAATATCCCCCAGTTTAAACTGGGGATTATTTTTGTGAACGCGCTGCGTTTACATCAGCCGCGCGTGAGCAAAAATACTTGATGGATCATAATAAATGATATACCTAAATCTCTATGATTGAAAAAGATATGCATATATAGATTTGGGGCGGATCCCAACCCATAAATTGGTTAGCCTTAGCATAGAGTACTTCGTTAGGACGTTTGCTGATCATCTAATGTCAGAAGAGTGGGAGTTACGAAGCTCATTTTCAAATCTCAAGCAGTATCCTGTAGTTTTTATCTAAGAGAACGTCAGCTTGAGAAAAATTTCAATGTAGTGAGTGGAATATTCTAATTAGTATTTTTCAGTACACATCATTAATCAGCTACGATGAGTTATTCTTCATTTTTCTCTAACACCCATACCATTTACCTATCGGTTGTCTTCTCCCTTTCTTTTCATTCCGTGACCCAACCCTTTCCTTCACCATGCCAAATGCAAAAATTGCACAGGGGCAAAATTTCGCATACTAAACTTAACCTGTTTTTTGTACTGTCTACTCAAATTTGTACCATGCGTGGAAGTGGAATATCTTGACTGGACATAGTGCATATCAAACAGCAAAACAAGTGTCTTAAATCTAATCCATTCGAGATCTCTATCTCACAGGAAAATAGGATACGTAACAGCATTTAAGGAATACAATCTCGAAAGAAACATAGTAAAGTCCTTGCCGGAAAAAGTGACCAAAAAAAGGGTGTCCACCAACGTTGTGCTGAAATGAAAATGGAAACGTAACGTGACAGGATATTTGAGCGGAAATAAGAAAGCTGATGACCAAGTCTGGAGAGTGAGACTTGCAGAAACACTGGCAAATCATTTTTTCCGTTCTAAGTTTTGACAAAGTAGGGTTTAAGTTCAGAGCCTATCGGATAAGGGAAATAGCTGATCTCACTATATACGTTTGGAACCGGCGGCATTTTGGAACCCTCTTTCAAGTGTAGACAAGCTTAGTAAGGTTTCATAAACTTGATGTCCGATGCTAAATAACCGTCAATTCACCCTTTTATCCCTAAAAGTGATTGGCTTCTAATTCTCCCTACAGTGTCACTGTTCATTCAAACATTGAAGTCATGAGAATAAGGGAAATGATCACCCACCAGAAAAGCCCTTGATTTTTAAACAAGTTCTCCGTGACATCACCTTAAGAAATACCATGAGAACAGTATGGAGAATATGCATACTGATATTAGGGTGTAAAGGGTTGAATACTACTGTAGATAAGGGACAAAAGTACCTACTTTTCCACGTTACGTTGCGTTTAATTGTGTTGTACAAAAGGTTAGGCAAACAGCTCGGTAGGAAAAATATTTTGCTTTCTGTACTCATTTAGCTCAACCTATCCTGACCTGCATGATTATTACAAATGAATAACAAAAAACACTGAAAGTGCAACTCAGTGACCCAATCGAGACTGTGGTTGCAAGGACTAAAAATCGCAGTTAAAAGAGACTGCAAATAACCTGTTGAAAAGAAGGTTAGGTTTGTTTCGTTCATTGTTTGGATAGTTGTTTGCTTATCTGCATTTGCATTGGTACTATCAAAGGGTACTAACATTACCAGTGCTCATTTTTACAAATAACTATAACAAAACAGAATTTATATCTTTCATGCATGATTATCACTGTTAAATTTTCAGCAGGTAATAAAATTCATTTAACTATTGAGGATAACCCACTAAACACTAAATATACTAACACTTAAGTGATATCAAATGTAGCCCAACATGAGGACAAGACCATGCTGAAAATACATGAACAAACAAACACAAAGACCAAATAAACAAAACAGAACTAAGTGTCTACTAAGTATCATGTGTTCTTTTCAATATGTCAGGTATGGAATAAGATTGGTGACAGACTTGCATAGCAAAGTGATGATGTCTTTTTGCTACTTCAGTATGCTAGCATAGTGTTTTTGTATCTCAGCTATTTGGGCTAAACAACTGTAGTCTGTCATGATCTTATGGTTGCATGTATTACTACAGCAAGTGAAAAGAGGAAGTGGACTTAAATCTTCTCAATAACTGTCTGTAGATCTGAAGTGATCATCATCTATGGTGGAGTAGATGTGGCCTTCATTGCTGAGCCATTCTAAAGTACTCCTAAAAAAGGGAAAAAAGAAAAAAAAAAAAAAAGTCTTTAGAAGTTTGCTCCCAGCCAGAGTTTTGACTAACAATTCAGATTTAAGCCAAAAGGGTGACCAGCATCTAGTTTCTCCTTACAATATCACCCCATGAATGAAACATTGAGGTCATGAGAATAAAGGAATAATCCCCAAATGAAGAAGGTCTTGATTGTTAAACAAATTTTCCTTGTCAGCACCATGGGAAATGTATAAAAACAGTAAGTAAAATAAGCATACTGATTTTAGGGTGTAAAGGGACAAGTCACTGTGAAAGTCTTTTGCTGTTTTTTTCCATCCAGGGTTTTGACTTATAATTCACATTTAACTGTAAATTCTTTTGCAAAATTTTGTCAGTATTCTCATTGTTTCTGGCATAAACCAAACATCCTTGATTCTTGGCTAAATGATGCTTAGCTTCAAACTGTGAAGGCCAACCTCACCTGATTTGTTGTTCTGATGTTCTAACTTTTTGTTTAATTTCAGCTACAGACATGCCTTCCTCGTGTTGGCATGATGTAATCATTCTGTGAATCTGAAGCAAAAAAACTTATGTTACTGCAAACCCGAAAATAGTACAAAATTACAAATTGGTGAAAACAATAAAAAGAGCTGTTCCTTCCAAAAAGTAATAGTTAACCACACATTAAAATCAGTGTCATTAACTCCAGACAACACCTCCCCCCCCCCTCCCCCCCATATGAACTGGAGTAGCATTTCATCAGGCTTCCCCTGACAATTTGCCAGTACACATTTATACTCCTGGGTGGAGAGAGAGAGAGAGAGAGGCACTATGAACATAAAGTGTCTTGCTTAAGAACACAACACATTAACCCAACCTGGTCTCAAAGCCAGACCTTTCTACCCAGAGTCCAGCACACTGACCATTGCGTCTTCCACATATTAAGTAATAAAACAGAACAAAGTCATAATTTTGGACTCAAACCTCATTTTGAATACCACTGAGCCCAGCACTTGTTCCTCCCATGTTTCCTCCAAATCCTTGGCTCATCTTGCCAGGTGTTGTCATCTGACCCTGGAAGCCTCGCCCAGGAGTTGTGTGTTTCATAGGAGTTGTCATACTAGTCATTTCAGATTGCTATAAGTAAAAAGAAGAACCATTTGAAAAAGAGGCATGATAAACATGAAGGACTGTCAATGATTGAGGAAAAAAATGTAGTCATTCCTCCATGTGCATTTATGCATAAGGTCTCAGCCAGTGGACATCACTGATTTCTGTTAGTTGCCAGGCTGTCAAGCTTCACCCATGTCCAGCCTCTGTCCCTCATTTCCCCTTCTACATTTCTCTTCTGACGAAAAAAAAAATCTTCTACAAATTGCAGATATTTTTTCTTTTGAAATTATACTTTTAGGTTAATTAACATATATTTATCTCCTATCTCTCCTGGCTTAGGAGGCAGTTACAACATTGAAACAAATATGCTGAGCATCCCTCAGTAGATGGGCCATTATCTCTTGAGAGAGTAGACAGCAAGCAGCACTACTATTCAGAATAAATTTTCCCAAGAAACATATCAAAATAAAATAAAATGTGTACTGAAAGGTATATTACCTTACTTAATGCCAAGTGAGAATGAATAACATCAATCATATGATAAGTAATTTCATTGAAGTCCACGACAGGATTTAGGCTGTAGGCTATTAAACTGCGACTGTTCTCTCTGAATGACTTAAGGTGACCAATTACTCGAACATAAGTGTTTTCCCTAGAAAAAAAGAAAATGAGCACATAAGTTAAGAAACTTTGTTTTGGAGCCTCTTACCTCTGCAAAAAACGTTTTGGTTTTGTTTTTTAGTTCTTTCTCACATCATAAAGACTTGTAACTCTGTGCTGCCTTCTTTGAGACTTGCTATATGTTATGCAGGCTGTGCCATTTCCCTTGAAATGCAACTAATAATTAAAGAAGAAAATGCTGTTCTTGTATCTGTATACTCCCTGTTTTTTTTAAACATTTTTACCTGCAGGATGATCGTTTGTCCTTCTCTGCATCACTTTCCTAAAAGTCAATTTATTAACAACAGTTTGATTATGCAAACTGATTAAAAATAATCATTCAAATTCTAACAAGAACATTTGCCAAGGGAAGTAAAATTAAACTTCACTGATTCACTAAATATTTGCAGCTGGAGCACAAGATGACAAAAATTTATGCTTGATTGTTTGAATACATTATTTATTGTTAAATGTCAAATTATTGATTTTCAAATATAGTGATTTACCTATTATCAAGAACACAAAACAGGAGAGTTTTTGAAGAAGGCACATGCATCTGGCAACAACATTTCTGATTCAACAAATCTATCAAAAGCAGTTTCATAAACTAATCAAAAATACAACAGTATCAAAATTTCATTCTGATGAATAATCAGAAACAAATTGTGAAATGTAAAATTTTAAAAGCATAAATAAAAACTACATCCACAAACTTAACTGTAAATTGGTTGATTACTTTATAGGTCAATTGACTGAAGATCAACTGATTCACTACTTGATGAATTGATCAAGCCAACCACAATATTACATGATGAAGTAAAAATCAAACCTCATTTTCCAGCCATTTTCTCACAATGATGTCCTCCCCAGTCATATCATTAATTGTGTACATAATATTAGTTGCTGACTCTTGTGCATCCCGAATGACACCAACCACTGAAACCTGTAAGTGTATACAAAGTAGAGGGAAAGTACAGGTTGCAGTTGTAAATATAACTGAAAATAAAAATACTTACTTTAATCACTTAATGCCAAAGGATGAAGCATGCAGAGGGGTTTGCTGTTCTTACAAGAAAATATCCAAGAATCCCTGCTCACAGGGTGTTAACCCTTTACCTCGCATGATTCAATTGTTAATTCTCCCCTCTACTGAGCTGCTACACATTTCCTTGAAATTAGTTATGAGAATCTGCTGATAGATTAAGATAATAACTTCTACCTGATAACTTTGAGTATTCTCATTACCTGTTTACTGGATAATGTATGGATAATTTAGGAAGAAGTTACATTTTAATCACCTCTGGGAGTTAAGTGTTTAACATCCATAATCACTATTGTTACATGAACTGTTATTGAATTACATTACAGACATGTGCAACAAGAAAATGAACAAACACATACGGCAAATAAAGCAGTTTGTTTACAGCATGTATCTGCTACACAGACAAGGACTCTTAATAGTACAAACCTGGTTCAACTCAATATTCCCTAGTTTGAAGGCATCTTCTGTTTGGTTATATGTTGCACTGTGAAGCTGCTTGATGGAGCATGGAAGGATGGACTGAGCTCTCATTGGGGAGCGCTGAAAAACAAGCAATTATAAAAACAAAACACATTTGACACATGTCTGTTTTAAGAGTTTCAACAAACTTGTTAAATCATCCAGCAAATACTTCAAATGACTCACCTTCTTTTCCTGGGAGTCTGTCATTGGGGAACCAAATCCCCCAGCATCTTGCATGTAACCTCCACCTCCAAAACCAGTATCCATTGACTAAAAGAAACAAGGAGCTGGTCAGTGAGACAAACTGATAATTCTGCAAGGAGAGCAAAGAGTTCTCAGATCTTTAATCTCTTGAGAACATTTGGCTGTAAAAGGCACAAGTGATATAGATTATTGAATGGTTATAGAAATCAAAGGTTTCAGATGTTTACACGCTACTGCATTCATCAAATTATTTTTAACCATAGAAACAGCTTTAAATACCTGATATCCACCACCAAACTGATCTAAGAGGAAACAAAACAGAAAAAAGGTTGGTGTGACTAACTCACATGAGTAAATCATAAGGGGTTTAAAATGTAATATTGCTCAGATTGTTAGTGATATTGTCAGAATACTACATTGTTCCCAATCAAAAGAAAAGACAAGAAAGAATTATTCCAGAGTGCATGAGTTTCAGATAAGTCTGGATATGACTGTTTCCCTTTTGTTAAAATTGTTTCCTTAACCCTTATGCTCTCAATATAATGCACCCGAGAAAATCAGATCTATGCAGTTCTCATTCAGAAGAAAGTCTTTATCTCCATTCTTTAAAAATTTAGATTTTTTTAATTTAGAATAAGAACTTCCTTTACCACTAAAATTCCAACAATGCGTGTTAAATTTTTTCCTCATTTTTTTTTTTTTTTTTTTTTTAAAACTTTTTCTAAAAATGGCAGTCATTTGATGAGAAACAAAACATTTTATGGAGAGGTCTTGCTTCACATGAAGTCAGGTCTGGAAGGTAATCCCACATATGACGTAAACATTCCTCTCAAACAAGGATGGAGATCAATTTAAGCTTCCTAACAACAACCCAGTTCTCTGCTGTGACACTAAAGGACATGGAGACATGACACTAGTGTTCGATTCAGTGTAGCTAACGCTTGCACCATAAAATGCATAAAATCTGATTGACCATTGAGGAGATACTGTGCAAGGCCCAATCTCCTACAATTACATGTCGCTATGCATATACACAGACTGAAAGAAATTTCTGCACAGTTTTTCAAACACTTTAGAATGTACAATTGAACGCTTGCATAACTAGTCGAACGAGGAGCTGTTTTACCGGCTCGCTTTTCTCAACGGTGTAGTCAAAGACAACGTTATTCCAACGGCGATGGATACGTAGTAGAATATAGTAGCAAACTTGTGCATGTAAAGCAAAAGTTTGAGAGAAACCTGTTCATTTAAAATTAAAATTCAATTAAGTTAGGCAGACTAGCTAGAAACGACGACTAGAATGCGAGGCATTATCAGGCGATAATAACAGAAGTATGGACAAAGAAAGCTATTACGGTGGGCCACAAGGAAAGTACTTACTTGTGTCGTTCCACATACTTGTCTATCTGGTAGTTAACGTTTTCTTATTACTCATAAAATTTACCAACTCTCGAGGAAAAGAATCCCGCAATTTTAGCCACACTTATTAAAATTGGCGGCAAATCAGGCCACACTGCGCAGGTATCACCAAGGGTAGTACTGCTGACCAGAAAGAGAGTGGGGAAATTTCAATAGGTCCGCTGAGCGTACGTACATCCAGTTAAGAACAGGAAGGTAACCATGATCTTTCTTGTCCAATCAAAGAAAGTGATCATAAAATTGGACTCAGTTCAAGATCTCATGAGCCCACTTTTATCTACTGTTCGCTCCAACGCCAGAGGAAGCCGCAATAACGATCACTGAAAGATTTACATTGATATTGTATGAATATTATAAGGAGAAATTTTGTCTTAGTTACTCATGAGGTAAGGTTAAATGACCGGTAGCCTGTATGTATGCGAACTATAGTGTTCTCGGGGTTCAGTTGGCAAATCGCTGAAAGAGGAGGTCTTTCCCTTGGTCTAAAGACCGGTAAACGAGGTCTTCATTCTTCAAAAGCTTCGCCAGAGAGAAAGGAAATTCAGCGTTCAACGATGAACTTAAAAAATAAAAACAGCAAAGACGGAGACTAGACTGTCGTCATAAAGGTACTTTATTTGGCTTGGTGACAAAAGCATTGGCATCAGAAATGGACTTGAACACTTTTCAAGGCAAAATTTGTTTGGATGGTAAAATCACTGCTCAACACGATTGAACGCCATTTCAACTCAAATTTCAAAACAAATAAAAGTTTATCACTAACAATAACGACAAAAGCTACAACCTCATTTACACGCAGATATAAAGATCGCAATTAAGAAATTAAATACAATTATTGGACTTAATGGGTCAAATATATTGTAACAATACATGTATTTCCTCAACTTTTCAACGCAAGAAGCGTAAAACGTAGTTTTGATTATAATGTTTACAAAATGATCCAAATTAGTTAATGGCACACGGATATTTCAAAGAAGTTCTGTAATGTCTGTACAAAATGAATACAGAAAAACATGCCAGCCCCAGCATGACAAAAAGACTTAAGTACTGAAAACGAACCGTTTCATCGTGCAACAGAAGTACACCAATTTCATTTTCACGCAATCCTTATTACTCTGTTTGCATGGGTTCTTCCATTTGCTGCTGCTGATGCGCACCATGACTGCTGGCCTGCAGGTCGCCTCCCAACTGTGTAGAACCTCCAGAGGCCTGATTCACCACGTCTCCGCCTTGCGTTTGCAATGCTTGCTGGTCAGCAGCTCCAGCAGCAACTTGAGCCTGCATTAGGTGCTGATCAGCGGTAGCTATCAGTAAATGAGGATGCGACTGCGCAGCCGCCATGGCAGCTAGGATCTCTGCTGGCACGGTGATACCCAGAGTATCGGATCCCTCTACAGTCACGTGCGCTGTCTGCATGGCTTCACCGATGGCTGCTTGAACGTCAGCAGTAGTGACTGCCGTGCCGTCGGCCACCTCCATAATATGCACTTGTCCGGTAGGAATGCCAACAGCTTCACCAACCGACACCTCCGACCCAGCGGTAGGTATGTCGACAACCTGAGGCATGGTGGTTACTACTGTCTCGACAACGGATTGGCCCACATCACTGGCGGAGATGCCGGCGCTGACGGCAGCTTGTGTGACGGGATCCACCAACATGGAAGCTTGGACAGCGTGACCATCTTGCAAGTGCTGCAAAGAAATAACTTTTTATTTATTCACTTTTTTCCATGTTCTATCTTACCTTAAACGATAATCATTGAAAGCTCAAGATCCATGTCAGTATAGATCAAGGGTGCACCTACCCCTCCCCTAACCCAAAATTGAACCTATCTTGTTCTCATTTGACTATTGTTGGGTGAGGGGAGGGGAGGGGAAGGTGCCAGTTTCTCAGATATTGACATTCATCCAAATTTAAATATTTTCTGCTGATCTGAAGAATGAAGCAACACCTCATTTGTGTAAGTATGATACCTAAAAACCAGCAGCAAAAGAATCATTTTTGTTTCGTTCTTGAAAATACTAAGGCATGAACAATAGAGGATTTTTGACTTGAAATGAGTTCATTGAATGGTACCAGAATTCAAAAAGGTAAGTCTGTTTCCTAAGTACAAACCTGCTGCATAACAGCATCCTCTTCGCTATGTGTCGTCTCCTCAACGGCTACAACCCGAGGAGTGTCGTCTCCTTCAGCCGCCGCCGCAACTACTGCTTCACTGACGGCAACCAATGCCTCAGCCAATTGAACGTCAGCATCTGTACCCAGATGACTGATGTTTACGGTAGACATGGTCTGTTACGATAAAAAAACGAGACAAGCGTGGTTACAAACACCAAACTTCCATGAGCCGATGAGAACTCAAAGATACAGTGTATGTCCACATGACCGATTATAAAACATTCTTGAATAGTTCCAGTCACATAGACATAAAGAATTGTTTCATATTTTGTTGGCTCAGTTAACACATCAGTTGTCTGTTTGTCTGTTCGTTCTGATGCCCGGCAACAGATGAAACTGCCCGTTAAAAAGCACCGCGAGAAATTACACACATGGCAAGAACACGGAATCAATATCAGTGTCTGGACCCCTGCGCACCTTCCCCTCCCATAACCCAACAACAGCCAACTGATAATAAGCTAAGGTTGATGTTGGGTTAGGGGAGGGTTACTTGCGCAGTTCCTCAGATACTGACGCTAATCAAACAATAGCCCCCGCTTTCGATTATTTCACCTGTTTAATAACCCGGGCGAAAGGCTGCAAGAATAAGAGTTGAGAGTAAGTGATAAACAAGATTTTCGCGTGTTCCCCCGGCAACACAAGAGGGATATTGTACTGATTAACCAATAGAAAATGTGGTCTAGAGCTTTTATGAAATGACTACGAAACATTTCAGTTTTCTTTCCTCTTTACCGTAAAATATAGAGAATTGATTTAATGAACTAAAGTCAATGTACCTGTTCCACAGTCGTGGTCCCTTGTGACTGTTCATCGATGACCTCTGTGTCAGACTGATCTTCCTTTTTGCCCCGCACTCTGACTCGTCCATCGCCCTTGTTATGCACCTTCATGTGATACCGGAGAGAAGCCTTGCGGGAGAAATCCTTGTCGCAAACTTCACACTTGAAAGGCTTCTCGCCCGTGTGAATCCGGAGATGATTGTTAAAATGGCTCCTGTGGTTGAACTCTCGACCACATTCGTCGCATTTAAAAGGCCGTTCACCTAAAAGAAGATAAATCGAAGTTGTTAGACGGAGGCGGATCCAGACGACTTTGATTCAGTAATTAGAAAATTTTTGTCACACTACAGCTTTGAAAAGCAAAAGATATAGTTCAACACAAGTAAATTCTAAAGACTTCATATTTAGTGATTACTTGCTGTCCAGTCATTGCATGGATGTTGGTGTCAACCAAGTTTTAAAATTAATGTCTGATGAGAGGGACCCCCAGACCATTACTACCCCCTCCTGGATCCGCCAATTTTAGAGGATTGAAAATAGGCAAAACGTTGTTCAAAAACACAAAGAAAACAAAATAGAGAAAACTTTCGAAGAATTTAGTCCTGATCCAGCCATGTAAAGATCCGAATTTACTAACCTCATAGAAGCAGACACTTTTTCCCTACATGTGTGTCTGTTTTTCCTGGCCACCGGATTTGAGATGTTCGACCGAATAACCTAAACAATGTCTCTTGGTATGGAGCATCGAAAATTGAAAGAAAATTTCCTTCTAGTACCTGTGTGTGTTCGAATGTGCTCCTTCAACGTGCTAAATCGAGTGAACATCTTCTCGCATTCGCCACATTTGTACGGTTTGTCCTCGCTGTGCACGGGCATGTGCACTTTGAGGTCAGTAGAGCGTGCAAAACGCCTGCCGCACTCGGTGCATTCGAACGGCTTCTCCCCTGAGAAAAAAAATCAAACAAGCAAAGTTCGTGCGCTTTTCCACTTTTTCACTAAATCATAGCAATCACAACGACCTATCAGAGCGAAGGAAAATTTGTAGGAAAACACGGGTAACAAAGTACTTTTGAATTTCATTGGCTGAGAAAATAGCGCTGGTATTAAGGGTAACCCTGGATTTCTTTGGTTTTGCTTTACCACGCTCTGTGATTGGTCTAGAAAACTCGCGCTACCTTCTCAACTAATTAAATTTAAAACTTCGCCCAATCCCAACCTGGTTCTTAACGTTTTTCAACGCTGAGTTCTCATTGGTTGATAATGATGTTAATAATAACAATAATTGTTCTGATTGGTAGTTGCGATAACTTTGGTTTTAGTTTTTCGACCCTCAATTGAAAATACCTACGTGAAGCAAAACAAAAGAAATAAAAAAATACATAAACTTTCATGATGAAAATTGCTCTACGGTGAAAGCGAAGAACATGTCGATAACGTATGTTCCAATCCTCTGTTGAAATGTTGCCTTGTATCTTGTAAATGAATAGCCTTAACGCTCCTCGGTGTTTCTTCTTACCAGAATGCACAATGGCATGACGCTTAAAGGTGATTGTAGAGATGAACTCCTTGTGGCAGATGTCACACTGGAAAGGTTTCACCCCAGTGTGTCTTCCCATGTGAGACTGCAGCTCTAGTTGGGTGCGGAATGTCTTGTCACACTCATCGCATTTAAACGGTTTGTCTCCGGTGTGCACGGCCTTCAAAAGAAAATAAAGAGACCAGACATTATCTCAAACCTCTTGAAAGTCAACAATAGCAATTCAGTGATACATCGAAACAATTCCACACCCAAGAACGTGGCCTGAGTTTGAGATTTCCCAGGTAAAATTACAGTTCTACCCTGAAAGTGACCTAAGCAAAAGATAAATTTGTACATAGAAAAATTGCAGTTGATACATCAATAGAGATAAAATTACAGGGATGCCGCTTATGTTAAGATATCCAGGGTAAAATTACAGTCCAGGGACAGAATCTCCTATCATTTGCAGGCTGGCAATGAAACAAGGCCGCAACCCACGAACTTGGCTTAGCTTCGAAGTTAAAAAGGAAGTTCAAGACACTGTATTTCAGGCTTAAGATTTATCAACGCCGTTTGCCTACTGTGGGAAAAAATGGTATGCAAATTGGGTATTCTTTTGGCACAGTGGACAGTACACAGCATTGTGATCGACTGTTGTTTACCTGATGAGACTTGAGCCCTGTTTGAATAGCAAAGCCTTTACCACACACATCGCATATGTAAGGTTTCTCTCCAGTATGAGTTCTCATGTGGTCTCGCAGCCGAGCGGGGCGTGTGAACTGCTTCGGACACATCTCACACTTGTATGGTTTGTCACCGCTGTGAGTGAACTTATGCTTCACCAAGTCAAATGACTGGATGCAGGCAAAATCGCACTGATCACACTTGAAAGGTTTTTCACCTGAAAAAAAAAACAAAGTATCAACGCAAATTTTATGGCGATGGACCCCGTGAGAAGCTACGGAAAACTGAACTAGACCTAAACGTGAAATCAGCAGTTTACGGTCAAGTTGCCTGAAAGGTTTTCTCGCCTAAGACCAGAGTTATGTGGCGATTGATACAGATTTCTTAACTTGATTGCCTATTTATAGTCTGTTAGACAGATCTTTTGAGTAATTGTTTCCGCTGTGAACACTCAGGTGACATACATATACAGTTGGGAAAAGGACTTTCAGGCAACTTCACTAATTCCCCACTGGACAATTGCTATTCTTCAGAATGAAGTGACATACACGGAGATGGTATTTCTTACCTGTGTGAATGCGGTAATGTCGTTTAAGATCATCATAACGAATAAAAGCCTTTTCGCACTGATCACATTTGTGTGGCTTTTCGCCAGTGTGCCTGAATGCATGGCGGGACAGCTCGGCTGGTGTCTTGAACGCCTTATCACAGCCTTCCACTTCACACTTGTGGGGCTTCTCTTCCTGATGCACTCTGCGATGAACCCTACCAAGTAAAAAGTATGGTACATATATAGTAGTAGAGGTTTCAATAACTTTTTTCTATAAGTGCTGTTGATGGTTTAATGGGCTGCTGCACCCAAAAAGGGGGACATAAGCCCCCACCTTCTCCAAGGGACTCTGGGGGCATGCTAAAGAAGGCAGTAAGAAGTTTTATAGGAGGTGGTAGATAACTGGCTTTAATTGCAACCCTTGTAAGAGGCAGTATGGTGGTGTGCTACTCAGGATCAATGGGACACCAGGTCAACAGGGGTTTCAAAAAGTTTCAAATAGGGTTTCAGACTCGGCAAAAGTAGGTGAATATGAAAAGCTCATCCAAGACCAAAAGGTAATTATTTTAACCAGAGCAACTGGTGACATGTTATCAAGTTACCAATGTATTTTATGCAGTCACCAGCTTGTTTTGAAATCCCTGAGTCAAGAAGTCTGGGTTGGAGACCAAACCAGTTCATTTTATTGTTTCATAAGCAACACAGTTAACTATGGAGGTTCCTCTTCTTGGTATATGTGAGTAATAGAACACTGTTAAAGACACCTGTACACATGCTTGAAGATTAACGAAGAGGAGAACAAATTTTCACCTCTCATACAGCTTACATATATGTGCCAAATGTGTAACAACAATTAAACAATACTAACCTCAAAGATCCTGGGTTGTTAAAGGCCTTACCACATGCCTCATGATCACAGATGTAAGGTCTGTCCTCAGAATGGGACAGAACATGGGATCGCAGAGAGCTGGGGTTGTTGAATGCCTTGTCACAATACTCACATTCATATGGCTTCTCTCCTAGATTGTACATCAGTAATGAATACACAGACAAGTTACCTTTAGTACATACATACATAAATGTACCTTGTATAAACGCAATAATCACTAATAATGAGTTATGTGGGTGCTCCATAGGGGGCCTGAGTGTAAAAGTCAGGTTTTTTTATCTTCAGTCACAAATGGCCATTGAGGTAAGTTTTTCATGTGTAACGGAAGAGAATGTGAACACACTGTGTGAAAGTTAAAACAATCCTACATACACTGCAAATTTCACCAAAAAAATTTAATTTTCATGAAACATAATGATATAAGTATGAAAACCATACAAAGACTGCCCCTAGATTTTAGAGTTATAAGCCATTAGGAGCACTTGGGTACATTTTACCAACAGTTTTATTGATTTGATGATACCTGGTAATTCATCAGTAGAAACTAATGACAACTAAATAATTGAAATTAATGAAATTTAAAGGTAGTGTTCAGGGTGTTAAATTATATACAGTACCTGTATGAATGAGCATGTGCTGTCGCAGATTGCTGGCATAATTAAATATCTTGCCACACACGTCACATTTGTGCTGCTTCTCCCCAGAGGCATGTTCTCTCATATGTCCATAATATGACCAGGAGCGAATATAAGATTTTCCGCAAATTTCACAGGTGTACTTGGGTTTACCATCATCTAAAAAATGGTTACCACAAAGAAATATCTAATTCAATAATTACATGTAAGACATGTAAGTCATTTTTTAGTATAAAATATACAACCAGTACAATGTCCTACAATCAGCTTCATAAAAGGCAAAAAATATTGTATTATTATAAAATCATTACAAGCTTTGCAGCAAAATTTAAAATGTCTAAAGTCATATTGAGACTGTGGTATTTTTCTAACACACTGGAACACATAGCACACAGGATGTGGGAATTCCATATCCAGGTACATGCAGGCAAGTTTCAACTCCTAATGTGCTAGGTTGTACGCTTTAAAAGAACAAAATAATAATTATGTTTACTTGTATGTCTAAAAAGCTAATTATAAGACATTTAAAGGGACTTGGTTAACATAGTGTTTAGAAAAGCATGCTTTTCCACACTTTGCAATACAAGCATAGTTTAAAAGTGTCAACAGCTACATCAGCAGTGACTCTGTTCGGGTAATGGAAAAATAATCCAAACTTGGTTGGATAAGCTGTATCTTATACACATTTTGTAGGAATAATTCCCACTCACCATCGCCGTCATGTTCTTCCCCATCATGTCCACCTTCGGTGCCATCTGTAGGAGCCTCTATCACAGCTGGATGAACTGTGACAAGGGTGGCCCCTTGCTCTTGAGCTACAGCTGCAGCAGCTGCTTCTGCACTTGTGGCAGCTGCGATAATAGCTTCTGTGCTGGTGGTGAGGGTGCCCCCAGTTGTGGATACCCCTCCAGCGTCTGTCTGCGATGAGGCCAGAGCTGACATTTGGGTAACATTCAGGGGTACTTGAATGGTTTGGCCACCTGGTAACTGAATTGTCTGGGTTGTTGCTCCTGGTTGAGAGGGGCTTATCTGGAAGACAAAGCAATGATGAAAAGACCACAACAGGATTACCTAGATTAGTAGAGTCAGGGTTTTCACCAAAAGCAGTGTTGAGTGACCAGTAAGTATTCTCCATGTCTGAATAAAAATAGATTAGGCCATCAAAAGTTAACCAGAAAATTCTATGAACTAGCAAGAGAACTCTCTGATCAAAGGTATCTCATGAAACACCTGCCAATTACCACACTGCACCCTGGAAGGTCCAAGGTTTGCATCCAACACTAGACTGACATTCAAGGTCTTGAAGACACTGAGTAGAATTTGCTGTCTTTGCAATGAAACATGTCTATTGTTGTATGAGGATGATAACCTATGGGCTTCATCTACCACATCTTTAATGTCATGTGTTTAGTAGGAGACCATTAAGAACTCACAAACTATTAAACACAGTTGTAAAGAGTAGGACACCAGGATGCTGGTCCTAGTTTCTCAGTCTGGTTTCCAACTCCAAAGTCTATGATCACTGGGGTGTGGAAAATCCATGGAGAAATCAACTGATAAAGCTACTCAAAGAGTACACTTTATATTGCCTAAAATATCAGGAATCACGAAACAACTAAAAAAAATTATCAATAAGTTATTAAATAATATTCATCTAGTAACAGCTCAGAAATATACTGGAATTTTCAAATGCTAACCTGTAGGGTTGCAAGTGGCATTTGACTGAGTGTGGCTTGTAATGAGTTCAAAGTACTTGAATCTGTTGATGTGACAATTGGAATAAACCGTGCTGGAGACTGATGTTGCAGGTACTGAATGTCGCCTGTTGCAGATTGGGAAAGGACCTGAACTGCAATCATTTCAGCCTGCATGGTGGATAATGTTGCTTGGTCCATCACCTGGGACAGGACTGATGTAGGAATAGTGGTAACATCAGTAGATGATGCTGCAAGGGAAAGAATTAAAAGAATTGAAAGAATTCAAGAATTATAAACAAGTAAAAATTATATTTTGAGCTGTGAAGGATAATAGGAACTCAGCCCGTAACAGAATGATAAACAAACAGTTGAAAGTTTTCCTTGGAACATCAAACGGAAACAATTTTTTTTACAACGGATTAAGAAACCGTTTAAACATTTTTGTTACAGCATTAAATGGATGCAAATTTTTTAAATGGATGCAAATTTTTTTAAACGGATGAGCAAACCACCTAAACGTTTTACCAAAAGCGTTAAACGGATGCAAATTTTTTTAAACAGATGAGCAAACCATTTAAACACTTTCATGAACCGTTTAAACAGATTTAAACAGATAGTAAACAGTTTCGCAGTTTAAATGGAAAAGCATTAGTGTCCGTTTTCCCATGGAAGATCATTTATTCTCCATAATGTTCTCTGTATATTTCCTCAGATGCTGACAAGGAGAATTAAATTTTGTTTAACAGTCCACAACTTCTCCAGTTGGCAATCATTTCCACTTTATAATGACCTCTCTGTTTCTGGGGACTATAAGGGGTTTAAGCCTTTACCCTAACACTGGTATGCATATTCTCCATACTGTTCTCTGTACATCTCCTAAATTCTGACTAGGAGAATTCATCTATCAATCAAGAAGTTCTGAAGTAGGCGATAGTTTCCTTCATTCCAACAACCTTAATGTTTGATTCAAGGGTGATACTTTAATGAGAAATTAAATGCAAGTCACTCTTGGGGATCAAAAAGGTTATAAGGTAAAATAGGAAGACTTTCAGAACAAAATTCTTCTGACAGCTTTGATGAATACAAACAATGTATGCCAGGAAACTTAGTCTGGCAAACTGAATTTGACTTTAACCCTTTCACTCCCACAAGTGATCAAGACAGAATTTCTCCTTACAATATCAATACAATATCAAGCAGGTAAGTGATGAGAATAGAGAATATCAAATATGGGATTAGTTGATCCAATACCAAATTCTCTGAACTAACATTATAAGAATTGTATAGCAGATAGTAAGGAGAATTATTAATTAGATCTTGGGAGTGAAAGGGTTAAAAAGAAAGACTGAAATTACCATTATCAATAACCATCTCTTCTTGAACTAGATTGACCTGTCCTTCACTGGAGGTAACCTCTGTACCACTCCCTGCCTCCACTACTTCCAGGTATACTGCAGGTTGGTCTCCCTGTCCTGACTCCATGTTTGCTCCAGGCTGAATTGCCACATACAATGTTTGGGGCTGCTGTGTTTCAGTGTCATTAGCAGACGTTGTAATGTCTTGGGAAGCCACATCTGCCTCTGAAATGACTTCACTTTCACCCTGGGTTCAAAAAATGTTTGAGACTAAGTTTATAGGCAATCAGAACTCATAAATAATTTAGTGGAGTGGGCCTGTCACAATTGTGATTGACCACAAACTACTTGAGAAAATCCATCTCAACTTTAACTCAAAGCCTTCAATGACAATTTCTTTACTGTAATATATTTCTTTTTAACCCTTTAACTCCTGTGAGTGACTGAGAGAGAATTTCTCCTTACAATAATTATTAATACAATATCATGCAGACAAGTGATGAGAATAAAGAAAAATATCAATTATGGGGTTGCTAATTGATCCAATACCAGATTCTTCAAACTGACAGAATGAGAATCATTTGACAGATAGTAAGGAGAATTACTAATGAGATCTTGGTAGTAAAAGGGTTAAAGTTTAGCTTGTATAATTTCCAATAAAATAAAAAATCTATGTTCTCTATCAATATTTTGCTTTGTTCATATCACTTTCATTGCAAAATGGTGACTGATATGGAAGTTAGCATGGAGCCATGTCTAAGATTAACATACCTGATGGTCTCCTGTATTCACTGGGCCACCTGTGTCAGTACAGTGTTGTTCTTGTGGTTCTTGCTGCTGGTCAACTGCAGAAGTAGTTTTAGCAGCAGACAGAAAAGATTGATCTTGAGATTGTATATTAGAGTTTGCTGCATTTCCATCTGTTAATACTGCTGTTGCTGCTGATTTCAAACAGACAATAAAAATGATAATTTGTAGGTAGGTAAAAAGCCAAGGGCTTTGTGTTAATAGTAAAAATGCATCCTTTATAAGGAAATAGTAATTTCCTCGATGAAAGAACACACAGTTCACGGCTGCAGAAACTGATGGTCAGAAAATTTCCAAGATAACTACCTAAGTAGGGTTGTGCCAACATCAAACTCAACTAAACATCTCCTGTTTACTAACATAAGCCCACTTCAAAATCAATTGCTCACAACATCAGCCTATACATTGTAGCTACTTCAAAACTACTTTTTGTCAACATCAATCCACTTTAAAACTAAATTTATTTTTATCAACATTGGCCAACTTTAAATCCTAAGAAAACCCTACTACCATTTCTTCTATGGTGCAGGTAATCATTAAAACCATTTCTGAAGTTTGAAAGACATGGGAAGGGATAGTCAGAATTAAACATTCTGGTGGCACATGGAGAGGTTCCCATAACACCTTGGAAGGTTCAGATCATTCAATAAGCGTTTCACAGGAAAATAAAATAATTCTAGGTTAGTCAGCCTTTTTATAATTTTCATAATTAAAACTTCCTGTAAAATTTTGTTACAATCATTGATTTTAGTTTGTGATTAGAATTGAATCCAGGTTAGTTTACCCTTTACTCAGGGTATTGCTCTGCTGCATTATATGAGGAATATGTTTCCACATATCCTTCGGCCACATCTAAAGAGTGGTTTTTAGCAGTTTTTCAGATCTGGCATAGCACAGGTTCTTTCTGCTGTACCCTTAGTTTCCCTGTACACATGTTCAGATTGTACGCATATACCAGGCTTATCTTAAATAAACTTTTCATATTGAATGTCTCATGTGAGTGTTGTCACAATATCTCATTTTAACTAGTAAAGCACAACACTCTGTGATTTCAAATATGGGCCTTCATTCTATTTCGATTTCCACAATTTTGAGTCGCTACATTACAATGTTTTTAGTAAAGTGAGAATTCTGCAGACCTCAAAATATAGGGGTATTGAAACAGTCGGTAATCAATTATTCACTGAGTGAGAATATTCATTGCATAACCTATCCTGTGAACATTTTGAAATGTTTTTACTCTTATGCTTTCTTAGGTACACAACACACTTTGAATGCAATGGCGAACGGTCGAAAACTTCCCGAATGCTAATGTAGACTGACTTCGCACAAGATACGTTTCTTTAATCCTTCGTCAGTACTTTTGACTCCTTTTCGTCCAATTCAGTAAGGCTTACATTTGACGGCGCCGTTCGAAAATCAAAGCAAATATCCTCCTGCTCTGTTTAGTTGGGCGAGAAATACAACTCATAAGAATGAACTAAGGCAATTTATGGTTCATCGGTGTCGCTAATATCAGATCACCGCGCTGTGAACACTTTACGAATTTACACGGCAAGGGGAAACACGAACCGCATGTTGATGTCGTGTGTGGCCGTTCTTTCGAAACCTGCCATTCTCCCTTAGGAAAAGTTTCAAACAAGAATTACTTAGTCTACAAACAGATTTACTACACAGCCCGAACCGTTTATCGTTTGAGATACTTTTCGGAGGTTTCTTGAGCACAGAAAACTGCGAATGAGTGCGAAACAAAAGTAAAATATGGCGTCGACCTATATGCTGTTGTTTGAACTGGCTTTGAGGGAAACCATGCGATCAAACTTGGAATTGGCCGGCTCCAAAGCATCATACCTTTCTGACTAACACCAGAAAAAATTACTTCGAAAGAAATAGCTCAAAAATAAGAAATAATCAGAGGAAGGTCAGCGGAAATCGTAGTATCTTCCACAAAATCCCGCTGACCCTCCCAAAACGACAAACAACGCTGTTTCGACCGCATGGATGAAGTGTGGGCTCGAACGAACGCAGTTTTGGCCAACTTTTATTTCGATGATGAACTTAATTATCTCATGGATCGGTTTAAAGTATTTCTCAAGAGCTGATATTTCGATGCACCCGATTTAAACAAAAATCTAAAACGAAATGCTTCGTTTCTTCTTGTAACGGCATCAAGCGAATTTTGGCGGGCACGATGAGCGAGAGGTTTTTTAGTTCTGAGAGCCTCTGGATTTATTTTTACAGGGTGAAAAGCCGTTATTGAAGTAACCCAGACTTACAGATGTACCCTCCCGTCGCAAAACCGAAAAAAAATTTTAGTATTCAGCCGTCTTACCTTCTTCTTGAATGCTCGAGGACGCCATTTTTCTGAACGAATGCACCCAGAATACCCTGCGATCTGTAAAATGAAAAATACTTGAAATTCAAAAATTTGATTAATTGTTAGCATTGTTTCTATTAATAAAAAAAAATTATATCTACATATAATTTTTTTGATTTTCTAAAACGTCCGAGGTTTAAGCAAAATAAGGGGAAATGAAATCACCAGAAATTGTATGGAGGGAAACAAAAAGTTTTCTCTACATGTGGCCTGACAGCAAGTTTGGCGGGCCTCAATTAATTTGGCTTAAATTTTGTAAGTAAATAATTATCAATCTTTTATGTTGGAAATTTGCAATAATTTTTTTGATGATCGTTGCCTCTTTTTCACTTTTCTAGCCTACAAGAAAAGTGGTCAAAATGTGGTTGCGCCCCTGTGCCAATTTTTTCGTTCGTACAACATTTTGACGTCATCGGTGACGTCTGTGATCCATTATTGAGAAGGCGCAGGGCAATATTAGAGATTACAATTACTTGAATATGCTTATTCGGTGATTACCTGATGCACCTGATCCAAAACTTCCATGGAATCAAAGACTTAGCCGCAAATATCACAAATATCACTACAATTTCTTTTTTTTTTTTTTAATATTCAAAAGTATTCGAGAAAAAGTAAGTTTTTATCTTCTTCATCCAGCCTCTTTTAGTTTTTTTTTTTTTTTTTTTTTTTCGTTTTGTGATATTTAGGAGTGTCTCGAGTTCCAGCCCAAAGGATAGTTAGGCGGAACAACAAGACATTTTCGGCTAAGTGCGAATGACATCCAATCAGGTGACTCGACTCCAAGCATCTGTGGAGGACCACTCGACTTTCCTCGTCGGCGCGCCCGGGCACCAGTCTTCTTTCTACACTTATTCACTGGTGCATACTCTTGCACTGAAGTCTTCCTCTACCAAAAAAAGGAATGATGATGATGATAGTAGCAATGATAATGACAACGATAAGAATAATAAAGATGACGACCATGAAAATTATGACGATGATGTTTTCAAATACATATTCCAGACCTGTGATGCGGGAACAAATTCCTTTGCTAAGGGATTCAGTCGAGAGGTCAGGCTCTCGCTTGTGGTATCTCGTGGGCTGTTGAAGAAACAAAAAGAAAAGCCGTCATTTAACAACTATAGATAAAAATCTCCACACCCTTTTGGATCCCACACCCCTTATGACTGAAACTGTATAAAAATTGTTATCAGGTCCGTGGGATTTGGTACCTAATTAATTCGCTCAGAGCGACATCAACCATTTCGACTTTCCCGCCTCAGCCGATTGACGATTAGATCACGTGAAAACGAAACAAATTTTTCCGGGTAGTGTATTCACGACATTTTCGTCGATATTCATGAACAAGTTATGAGAGTCACACTTTAACAGTCACACATTCACAGTCTACCTTTAACAGTCACGCTTTTAATAGTGCGTTAACAGTTTTTATTATATAGATACTGATGAAATACCAGGATTTTTCCTTTCACTAAAAAATCATATCTTCATCGCCCGCAGTGAAGATACTATTTTCATCTTTCACGTGTGAGGATATTGGTGTCGCCATGGTTACTAACATGATTAGCCAATTACAAGAGAGCTTTCCGCTCTGGCGCGCGGCCGGTTCTTTTGAAATTTCATCAGTATCTATAAAGTAAACAGAACATTACATGGCCGCTTGGGGGTACGAATTTTATCTTCTCGTACTGAGACGATAAAATTTGTATCCCCGCGTGGCCATGTGATATCCTCTATTTATTTCATCAAAAGACAACATGCTAATCCAAACGGGTTAAGTTGACGTTCCAAAGTAAATGTTTCACCAAAGCTTAACTATATATAAGTGATTGAAGTCTAAAATTCCCACTTTCAAGATAACAGTTCTAGTTCGATAACAGAACAGCGCAGTTCTTCGCATAAAATTCACCCATTAGAAAAGCTCAATTAAGTTTCTTCGCCCTCAGTGTAGCCAGTGACAAAGCAAAATATTGTCTTCACCTTAAAAAGCTAAATATTCTACCCATTAGTATCAAAATATCCAATTTAAGTCCCACTGATTTCGGTTACCTTTCCTGCTCTGCAGGTGGTGTTTCTATTCCCTGAACATCAGAGGCAACAGCATTCCCCTCATGATCAGAATGGTATTCATCTGGGGTGTCAACTTGGGTGTCAACTTGGAGATCCTCTTTTTCAGGACTCTGTGTATCAAACGAAATGAAAAGACAAGCAGAAAATGTTAGGTTTCTCTCTATTTTTGATCTAATTTACAAAAACGTAAAATGAAAATCATTTTATCAGGACAAAGGGCTGGGGCAAAAAAAATAAATTTGAAACTTAAAAGTAACTTCAGGGTCATTTGCATTTTGTCAGTAATATCTTTTTTTGACATTTTAGACTACTTGTCTGAAGGTGCCTGAACTTGACATGATGCTCACCACGGTCTCGACAACTGACTGGCCCACATCAGCCTCTGTGACAGGATCCACTGAAGATGCAGCTGCAGCGGTGGCCTGAGCCTGCATTAGCGGCTGATCAGCGATATCTGGGATCTCTGTTTGCTCTACCTCCGACCCAGCGATAGGTACTACCTGAGGCATGATGCTCACCACAGTCTCGACAACGGACTGGCCCACATCAGCTTCTGTGACAGGATCCACTGAAGATGCAGCTTACAGCCCTCTGGCTTGAGCCTGTATTAATTGCTGATCAGCGATAGCTGGGATCTCTGTTTGCTCTACCTTCGACCCAGGCGATAGGTGCTACCTGAGGCATGATGCTCACCACAGTCTCGACAACGGACTGGCCCTCATCAGCTTCTGTGACAGAATACACTGAAGTTGTAGCTGCAGCGGTGGCTTGAGCCTGTATTAGCTGCTGAACAGCGATAACTGGGATCTCTGTTTGCTCTACCTCCGACCCAGTGGTAGGTACTACCTGAGGCATGATGTTCACCACAGTCTCGACAACTGACTGGCCCACATCAGCTTCTGTGACAGGATCCACTGAAGATGCAGCTGCAGCGGTGGCTTGAGCCTGTATTAGCTGCTGATCAGCGATAGCTGGGATCTCTGTTTGCTCTACCTTCGACCCAGCGGTAGGTACTACCCGAGACATGATGCTCACCACGGTCTCGACAACTGACTGGCCCACATCAGCCTCTGTGACAGAGTCCACTGAAGATGCAGCTACAGCGGTGGCTTGAGCCTGTATTAGCTGCTGATCAGCGATAGCTGGGATCTCTGTTTGCTCTACCTTCGACCCAGCGGTAGGTACCACCTGAGGCATGATGCTCACCACAGTCTCGATCACGGACTGGCCCTCATCAGCTTCTGTGACAGGATCCACTGAAGTTGAAGCTGCAGCGGTGGCCTGAGCCTGTATTAGCTGCTGATCAGCGACAGCTGGGATCTCTGTTTGCTCTACCTTCGACCCAGCGATAGGTACTATCTGAGGCATGATGCTCACCACAGTCTCGACAACAGACTGGCCCACATCAGCTTCTGTAACAAGGTCTACTGAAGTGGAAGCTTGAACAATGTCAACGTCTTTCATGAGCTGCAAAGAAATGGGCCAGTGATCACTAATGGACGGAAGGGGGGTGGGGGTTTCAAACAATAAAATACCCTACCTTGCATTTTTTCTTCGGAACGTAAACTATCCATCATTTCCATGGAGCATAAAATTGCTTGCCACGTAGTGACAAACATCTTGACTTTATCAAGTGTTTCAATTGATAGATAACGTCTGTATTATCTCTCCGTTTTATTGTATACTAAAACAACTATTTACCTCTGTGTTGGCGACTAACGGTGGATATTTAACTCACCGCTTTGTGTCTCGGTAAATATCCACTACTAGCCATATCCAATTTAGTAAATAGTTATTAAATATCAACTGTGAAGACCCCCACGTGTCCTGGCTCACCACGTCTCCGCCCTGGTCCAAATCACTTGAGTCCCGAACTGCAGCTTGCGTCTCAATAATTTCCTGGTCAGCAGCTTCTGTGGTAGCTTGAGCCTGCATTAGCTGCTGATCAGCGATAGCTGGAATCTCTGTTGGCTCTACCTCCGACCCAGCGGTAGGTACTACCTGAGGCATGATGCTCACCACAGTTTCGACAACGGACTTGCCCACATCAGCTTCTGTGACAGGATCCACTGAAGTGGAAGCTTGAACAATGTCACCGTCTTTGATAAGCTGCAAAGAAAAGGGCCAGTGATCACTAATCGACAGAAGAGGGGTGGGGGCTATAATCAATAAAATACCCTACCTTGTATTTTTCTTCGGAACGTAAACTATCCATCATTTCCATGGAGTATAAAATTGCTTGCCACGTAGTGACAAACATCTTGACTTTAGCAAGTATTTCAACTGATAGATAACGTCTGTGTTATCTCCCCGTTTTATTGTATACCAAAACACCTATTCACCCCTGTGTTGACGACTAGCGGTGGATATTTAACTCACCGCTTTGTGTGTCGGTAAATATCCACTACTAGCCATATCCAGTTTGGTAAATAGTTGTTAAATATCAACTGTGAAGACCCCCCCGTGTCCTGGCTCACCACGTCTCCGCCCTGGTCCAAAACACTCGAGTCCTGAACTGCAGTTTGCGTTTCAATTTGAATCATATATCATATGGCTTTCAGAGGGAGCATAGGTGGATCAGTTGACATAGTGCAAAGGGAGGGAATACAAAATCAATGCAGGGAAATCATAAGAATATTACAGAGCCTTTTGGCTCCCACCTGAGGCATGGCGCTCACCACCGTCTCGACAATGGACTGACCCACATCAGCTTCTGTGACAGGATCCACTAAAATGGAAGCCTGAACAGTGTCTTGCACGTGTTGCAAAGAAAGGGGCCATTTATCATTAGTCGCTTGGTTTTCGGGGGTACAGAGGTAGATCAGTTGTCGCCAATAGATTATTAAGGGGGGAGTACAGAAAACTGACTGGTGAGTAACTACCAATACAGGGAAATCATTAAAATATTACAGAGCTTTTTGGGAAGCAGGTATATTTAACCGAAAACCAACCCAATTTCTTCGTGCCGTCCTCCTTCTCCCCCGGCAGCTCGCTAACTAAGTTTCATTTAGGCCAAGCATCTTTGCCGTTTATCTCTCAGGTATCTCTGCCAGCATCTCTTAGAGTTTCGAGAGGCTCTTCACCAGAATTACTGCATTGACATGAGTTCTTAAAGCTTTCGGATCATAGTTTTGTGTATAAAAAATAACAAAAATATCATTTACACTGACAAACAATCAGACTGGAATTTGAGTCCTTGATTGTCGATTCTAACGGACGCACGATATGTTGACATTTTCTTTTGGTCTGTTTTTGACAAGCAAGGCAACCGAAAACAATAAGATACCTTACCTTACACTTTTCTTCGGAACGTAACCTGTCCATCATTTCCATGGCGTATAAAATTGCTTGCCATGTAGTGACAAACATCTTGACTTTATCAAGTGTTTCAATTGATAGATAACGTCACAAAGGCTCGTAACGTAAAGCTAACCAGATAATATATTGCGCGCGCTTTTCTAATTGTTAATGAAAAAAATTCGAAGAACTGGCTCGTTCCCAGTCGACTTAAAAGCGCGGAAAATCGCCAAGGGCAGGATGGGGGCGCAAATTGTTATGGGTAGCGCGGTACACCTTTAAAAGACGCTCTGGACGACCGGAGACGAGTCAGGAAATAGAAAGCAAGGGAAAAACAAAACTTACATCGCTTTTTTTTTCTATTTTTTTTGTTTGCTTTAGGCCTTCAATTGAGGAATTCTGTTTCTCACACCCTCGCACAAGGGATTAGTAATTATTGGGGGGGGTCAGTCATTTTCAACATAAAGAGGGGGATTATAAACATTTGACAGTAGTGAGGTGGATGATCAGAATACTTCAAAGTCCTTGGCCCACCCTTCCCCTTGCTCCCTGATAACCCGCCACTCTGATTGTGATAACGCTGATTGGGATAATTGTGGGGCAAGTGGAAAAGGCAAGGGGCAAGAGGAAAGCGGGAAGAACAACAGCGAGGAGGGGGAAGGGGTTGGGAGAAGTGGAGAAGATTGGGAGGGAGGAAGGCTCATGAATAAGGGTGGGGAAGAGCCTGTTGGATATAAAGGGCATCAGTTCATTGGTGTGAACATGCCTCTTCTGCGAAAGCGTATTTTGTCTGTCACTTACGCAGTCAAAAGATAGGCGCTGTAGGTTATTTTCTTTTCTTCAAGCTGTAGCGAAACTCTTCCAATACCTGGGGACTAGAAAGGGTAGATTGAATTCCCCGTAATTTTTTTCGAGTGCATTTCGACGATATATGATATTTGATGTCATGATGGTTATGAAGGATCAGAAACAGATTATGAAAACCAACGACAGGAAAACTAAACTTTTTAAAGACTGCGCTAAAGGCGTGTTTGTCATCGTCTTTCGCTTCTGTGAAGTTGTCACACAATTTTTTTCGTCAGTCGTCGTTATTGCATAGTATTAACCATGTGTTCGCAAGTTATGCCGCACAGCAAATAGAATACGATCCGCCCTCCTTTAATTAATTTCAAAGAAATCCATCGCGCGAGTTAAAGCCAATCAGCAGAAACAGTATTTGATTCCACGCCGCGCAGAACCCTGAGAGTAGGCCTCACCTCGCTGAGTTTCGCTCGGCTTACGAAACATGATTTTCATTCGCCTAAACAAACTCTTGTAATCGGACAGACCAAAAGCACCTTCAGCTATCAGCCAAGAAAACTCAACTGCCAGGCCAATACTGCCCAATTAAAATGAAAAAACTTTTCAAGTGACTTGCTGCAGGACAAAGGTCCACATTTAAAACAAAAATTTATTAATAGGAAGCATTAGTATTCATGCATAAGATGATTCATTCTGATTTTTTTTTTCATTTTGTTATTTGAACTTCGTGTCATACAATTTAGTTGAACAGCACTGGAGATATCACTTCCAACCTCACTTCGGTCAAAGTCCCTTTGACCATAAATTATACTGAACAATATTAATCTCGTCTTAATTTTTTGTTTAGCTATCTGTCTCTACGGCTTTTGTTTCTATTCATTAAATTTTAATTTCGTTAGCAAAATGATTTTTATACAAGAGAAACCCTCCTCTATATTCCGGAATCAGTCACCTTTTCTTCGTAACAAATTGATGTCTCTTTAACTGTTACAGTCACGTGTTTTGATAAGTATTACAAATGCCATCCCTTCTTGACTTCCTGATGAACAGGAAAATCGGAGATCCCCCTCATGATCATGTTAACTTGGGGAACCTCTTTTTCAGGGCTCTGTGTATCAAAGGAAGCAACAAGAGAAGTAGAAAATATTAGGTTTCTCACCATTCTTGGTCTAATATTAAGAAAAGGCAAGATGGAAATAATTTTATTACGAGTAAAAGCTGCGGAAAAAAAGTGAATTTGAAATTCAGATATGGACGCGAACTTGAGAAGTAAATTAAAGTCATATGCGTTTTGCCTGTAACATCTGTTTTGTCGAAATGCCAGACTACCTACGGCGCTATTTGCTTCGTGTGGTGTTAAAGTGCTTCAACGCAACTGCGTCAAAAAAGCTAAGCAACATGGAATTAACCAAGTACACGGAAAGAGAAACTCTGCCGAGGTGAACTCTGTCCCTGTCAATTTCTAGAACATGAATACACTAAGACTAATAAATTAAGTTACATTCTCTTAGAAATGTCTGTTTTTAGAAATGTCAGACAATTTATTATATCTCACCGACGTTTTCTTATTTCCAGACGTTTTTTTTTTGGAAAGCCTGATATTTCATCCATGCTGGTTATTTTGTTTTCTTTTTCTGAGATGCCAGACCACTTACAGCGATACATGACAGGCGTTTTTTCCTCTTCAGACAATAGATGTTTTGATTTAGTATATATTAAAACAGTGGAGAGCGTTAAAGGCGCGCTCTGATTGGCTACCCAAGCTTTTTAATCTCCTTTGCCCTTCACCTCCGAGCAACTCCAGGGCGTGAAATCGCGTCTAATATAGGCGCCAATGCAACTAAATTTTTTACTTTGGCGACCAAATCCTGAAAATTAGTCACCAACTTGGCGACTAAAATGTTTCATCATAACCTTACCTAGAGATATAGTAAATTAAAAAGATTTGCAAAGATAAATCCGCGGCAAACTTCCTCGTTAAATTTGTCTCCAAAACGCAGCACATGCATCAAGATCGATCACTAGACGCCATCTTGGATTTAGGTGAGCTTGAACGTTGCATATCATCCATCCTAGTGTCCACTTTGTGTCACGTTAAAGATCTTTTCCCCAACTTAATTTCTAGAACGATGACAGAGTAAAAAAAAAGGGTTTGTTTGTCTTTGAAAATGGCGACCAACTTCTTTTGAATTGGCTACCACTTTGAAGAATTTAGGAGCCAAGTGGTTATCAGAAAAAAAGAAATTAATTTCCCGCCCTGAACTCTAATGGGATTTGCGCCCGAAAATACACTAATCGTTGCAGGAATAAATGAGTTTGAATCATCGTTTTGTGCTATATTATTTCGCTGTTTTAGTCACCAACTGCAGAGGGAACTTGAGTTTGCATTAGTTGCTGATCAGCGCTGAGTCGGAGGTGTCTATTGGGGGTGCTTTGACAGCTACCGACCATAGGCTCCAATTAGTGGACATACCGGTTCCGTCGAAAAGAAGACCAAAGAGCCAATACGGAGGAAGAACCGTATTTAATTTAATAACACAATTCGATCTAAAATACAAAGAAACCACTCGGCCTTAAAAGTGTTCCAAACAAACAGAAAATTGCTGTAATAACCTGGAAACCAACTGAAAACTTACTTCTCGACTGCCTCCGTACTTGTGGTAAATAACTGGTTAGCGATATTAAAATAACTAGTCAGCTTGCTCGAAATTGAACTGAAAAACTGAACAACTAGACTACGCGTCTAAAATTAAACGTTTTACGCAATAAACATTGCGATAATTATTGCGATATATGAATTCAAACGAAGCGCGCGCGGAATAGTAAACATGAATAGCACGCGCGTTAAATTTAACAATTAGCTATAATAAAAATTTTGTTCCGTGAAACAATACCTACCGAGCTAGCGGTAGGTATTTCCACTATCTGAGGCGTATGGTGTCCTATGCCGTCTCGACAACAGATTGGCTCAAATCACCGGCAGCGCTGGGTCGGAGGTGTCTATTGGGGAAGCTGTGACAGCGACCGATCAAATGCCTCAAGAAGTGGACATACCTATTGACCATCAGTAGGTACTTTCACTACCTGAGGCATATGGTGTCCACACCTGTCTCGACAACGGATTAGCCCGCATCAATGGCAGAGATGCAGCTTCCTAAATGTAAACTGCAGTTAGCGTCGGCATCTTTGTCGGCGATCTCTCAGGCATCTCTCAGAGCTCTAACCATTTAACTCCCATAAGTGACCAAGACATAATTTCTCCTTACAATATCAATACAATATCAAGTAGACAAATGTAGAGAATAAAGACAAATATCAATCTCTGTTCATTTTCGACACAATCCTCTCATCCAAATGCCTTGACAGCCATTTTCTGTCACTACATGGCAAACGATATAGCATATTTCTAGAGTGTAAGAACACTTGCCACGTAGTGACAAACATCTTGACTTCTACTTTATCCAGTGTTTCATTTGATAGATTACGTCACAAGGGCACGTTATGTAAAGTTAAATAAATAATCTGTCACCATGCGCTTTTTTAATTGTCAATAAGAAACTTCTGTAGAACTGGTTCGTTCCCAGTTGACTTAAAAAAAAAAAAACGCAGACAGCCGACGAGGACAGGATGCGAGCGCGGAGTGTTATGTGTTGTGCGGCGCACATTTTGAAGATGACTGGAGACGAGTCAGGCAGTAGAAAGCAAGGGGACAGAAAAAGACTTACAGGGTATTGAATGAAATATGTCGTTTCTGCCATAGTTTTTTGTTATTGTTGTTGTTTTAGACCCAAAAGAAGTCTGTTTCTCGGACCTTTACATGAGAGACCAGTGATTTTTTATCGCTGGGCGGGGGGGGAGAGGGGGGAACGGAAAAATTTTTTAGGCAATCACATGGTTCTCAGCGGGAACGAAAGGGCGGATCGGTCGACGCTAAAAGAGTAGATAAAGGGGGACTATAGAAAACGAACTGCCAGACAGGGGGTCAATTTTGCTTCTAAAGTAACCCCCCTTCTCAGCCTGAGGGAGAGAGAGAATTATGACCAGACGAAGTAAAGGTTGATCTAGTCCTCTGCCGAGGGCAATAGGAATCGGAGAGACCCTGAGTACTAGGTTGAGAGGGGACATGTAGTTACCAGTTTCTATCGATGACGTGCCCAGTTTATAATCAACTCAGACGACTTACACGATGATTCATTTTTATCATCAGGCAGTGAAGAAAAATATTTACATGTGGTCATCCCGTATCTTACATTAAGTGTTCTTACGCATGCGCAGGCGAACTAGAGGTCCTAGAAAGACTGGAAAGGAATTGTGCGGACCTATGATTAGTGATCAGCTTTGTTATCTCAATCCTGATGTCACTCTTTAAAAACGCGTAAACGAAAGGATTTACCGCCGAGTTTATAATTAGCAGAAGCTGGACTCCTTGTGCAGCCTCATGTACGACACGAGTAGAGAACATAACCCACAAAATCATACCATTTACAGCTAAGTGGCAGAGGAAGAATAAAATAACGATGGCAATCACGAAGTGCGCTTTGTTCTGCTTCTGATGTTTGCGAATACTTGTTTCTTCACAAAATGTTAGGGTAGACTGCACTTGTAACTTGACAGAGAATTCCCTGTAAGCCTGCATACGTGCGACTCTGAATATACGAACAACTGCGTATAAAAGCAACGCACCTGATATTAAATCGAATGCCGAAACACCTGTCAATCGAAGAACTATTAGCGCGGTGTTCGACTTCGCAATGTATAAACCCACCAAAAGAGTCAAAAAAATCGCGAAGGGGATCAACCATGCCGACAAGATAACCGTTTTTGTGCGTTTCTCAGTCACGGAGGTTTTGTAGCTGAAAGGGTATACGATGTAGGAGTAACGATTCCACGTCAATGCGCAAAGATTCGTTACCGAAGAGTGCACGAAGAACCAGAAAAATGGTGTGTACAATTTGAAGTTACAACCTAAGCTAGTACAAAAATAGGCCAGTGGATAAGCAACAGCTCCGACCAAAAAATCGGCCATTGCCAGGGAAAGAACCAACCAGTTGGCTGAGGAATGAAGTCGGCGTTTTTTGGCGACGAGAAAGATCACAAAGCCATTTCCCACGGCTGTAGAAACTGAAAAGAGCCAACCGAAAAAACCTAACCACTTTTCCATTCCAACTGCAGCTGTTTGGCCGAGAGTGTGTTTTCTGTTCTCAGAATTTTAAGACAATATTAGGAGAGGTGACCGAACTTTCTTTACCATCCAACTCTAACGCTTTTATAACACCTGGTGTTGTTGTTTGAAGACACCGTCTCTCTTGAGGGTTCTTTAGAATTAATTGCGTTTCTAGAACATGATCTTTCTTAGCTTTCTTTTTCATTGAATAATAAATTCCTCATATGGTATTATGAATGACAAAAGTAATCGCCCCTGGCTCTGAATTATCAGTATAATGTTGTCCCGGAAACCAGCTTTGAAGTCACGTACGTAATTGTTAGAGGTTCTCTAATCAGATCCATCAAGATCTCCGCATTGTAATGCAAAATATTATCTCGCCGCCAACACTGCAGGAGTTTTCGTTTTTTTTATCAGCTCAAAGCTCGAAGGTGACTTTCGATCAAATTCTTTTATTCTTATCAAACGTTGCTCTAGGTCACCGCATAGAAAGCAGAACATTATCATAAACAAAATTATTCCTTGCGTCACGAATCAAATTATAGCAAATGAAGTTTTGAAAAGTGCATTTCCGATTTCGAGAACTTATCGAAAACGAAAGTACTAATGAAAAAAACTCGTAATTTGTATTTCCCTTAAAGAACGTTTAATTTCCCTTGCTGCCAGAAAAAGGTTTCTTGTATGCCTTTTATAATTAACAAGCGAGGCTTTAAGGCGTCAAACTGTTCAAACAGTCTTTTCAGAATTAAAACCCGGCAGATGTCAAGAAAGATACAAAAAAACATATACGCTAAGAAAAGATAAGGAAATGAAAGAAACGAATAATTAAATAAATATACCGACTTTTTGCTGAACTTGAATCCTCTCTAAAAAGTTTCATATTAGATGCGAAATTCTTAAAAAAAATCAAATAACAATTATGGATAAAAAACAGGAAAAACAAAAGCAGTACTTGAATAAGCACCATTAGTGTTATTCCGGCGGCCAAAATGTAAGTTTAAATTGAAAACTAACTTGAGATCAAATTAGATCACATATATTTTCCGCATCACCTACTTCTTGGAACAGGCGCTTTCTTTTTTCGTGCTTGATTAATTTTTCTTAGGATAAAATTTACTTTCAGGCGCCGTTTACGTGACCGTTCACAGCAAAGCAATGAGGATAAATCTTTTGTCAAACTGGCTCGCTTTAAGCGTCTTAAGATGTTCAGGCACTTGAATGGAAAGGTTCGTCTTGAACGAAAACAATTCCTTCATTCGAAATTTCCTGTTTTAGTTTTTGGATAGAGCCAATTGAAGATCCGACAAAAGACGTCAAAATATTTGTTTTGAAAAGAATAAATTGTTAGTAACACTTGCGCATATTAGATTTATCGTATTCACAGGAGATAGGAAGCGACGTCGTTTTTTTCCTCTGAGCAGCAGTGATTTTGCCAGTTGAGCAATAAAGTAAATATATCATAAACAAGCTGAATTATTTTATTGTCAAACCTCCCATTCGGGCCAATTAATTCTCTCTATCGCTTCAAGAGGGAAAAAAGAGAATTATTTAAAGTTTATGTAAACCTGTTACCGGATAGTTTGTACGCGAACTGCCTAATTTTTTTTCACCATTTCATGTTCCAGGCGAAGAAAAATTAAAAATAATGTTCTTATATTTTCAAGCTATTGTCTCATCAAGAAGTTTCCTTTCGACAAGCGTAGTTATTCTCAGACTCTAACCCGTTTTGCGTGTTTGGATACACGAGAAGCTCGGGTAACTGTTACAACCGGATGTTGAAAATTTCCCATATCCGGTGGTATATGCGTTATATCCCATGATTCCTTTACGCTGAAGCGCATACGTCAAGTTTCAGGGGGGGAGGGACATTCTGGGTTTAGTACTTCAGAACAGGGCGGAGAGAGGTTCTCTGGGGTAAAAACAAATTACAAATTTTTTTTTCATCAGCACTTCAGATGTTTCTCACGTCGTTCACCGTAATTAAACGATATTTAATTTTAGCAAGACATTCAATGAAATTTCCGGCCACCTATTCCATCTTAATTAATAGCACGTAATGAGCGCACCTCTCTAAATCATAATCTTTGCGAGTTTTCGATTTTCTGCAGTGTGTATTGACAAGATGAACCACAGTAAACCGGTATTCTATGTTTGCCACTCTTGACAGAAACAAGATCATGAGAACAAATTTCGTCATACAGGACTTTAAAACTTCAAACCGTTGTAACAACATCTCCGCATACTGCAAGCAAATAGCTGTGGTTCGCGTATTCATTTAAACGGTTATGTATAATAGTGCACTTTGATACACCAAAATCTGCTGAACAATTGGATTAGGTAGAAAATGGAAAATGAACTCAGCTCTTATAAGCCCGGTACGCCTCCAGTTAGATATCTGCACGCGCATTATCATCTGCTTCCTGTTCACAAGAATTATCCCGTGACGTTGTGTGACATGAACGACTTTAGCAGAGAAAGTGATCCCGTTCAGGTAGGTGTAGTAGCAACCCGTACATTGCGATAGGTCAGCAGCGACCCGCAACCCGCAACCCGCAACCCGCAACCCGCAACCCGCAACCCCCAACTCGTGACTAGTGAGCCGCATAACTCAGGTAATCTCCATACTTGTACCGTTGCACTTATGGCCTCTTATTGCAGATATGTCCTCTGACGTAATGTGATACAGTGGCCAATCATATCCTGCGATCTATCGAGCGACACGCGGCTTGGGACTGGTTAAGAGACTCCGTTGTGGTTATGTCTTCAAGCAAAAGTACTCATTCAAGGGGGTCGGGATAAGCGGAAAATTTGACCAGTATTTTCCGGTAACTGATCTGAGGAAAACATGCTGTTTGCATGATCACTGCGAACCGGATCATTGGCCTCTCATATTGCTTTCCTTGAAGTTCTATCGTTCGTTGACGCAGAGTGATCGCATCGTTTTTATAACCTAAACTTGGAAGAAAAATTTGCTGTGCGTGAATAACAAAGCGACTTTCGACCAAAGGATGCATTATTGTTCACGTTTTATTTGCAGCCTTGCTTTATTTACAGTCTTCATTGCTCGACTAGCGACGTCAATGACAACATTTTTTAGCCACAAGCTAAGACAAAAGCACAATGTGGCGTCATATCACAATTGCTTTATTTTCTTTAATAGTTGAAGATCATAGATTATGGTTCGTCGACATAAAATTATATATTTTTGACACTTCACCTGATCTGCCGGAGGTGAGATCGACTGAGAAGTCCAAGTTGTGATTTTTTGTCTGCGTCACGAAGTCTTCCTTCAATCACAGAAGTTTGGCCTTCAGTTGTTTATTTTGAGTACTGTTGGTTTTTGCCGTATCGCACTAAGCCCTCCGTTAAAAAAATTGAAGTAGTAGATTGTGATTTTATTGCGGTTCCGCTGATTTTAGCTGTTTTTTTTTTTAGTACTGTTTCTAAATTATCGTTGGATTTATTGCACTTTTGGGTGGATTTGTCCTATTTTACCCTGTTTATGACAAATTCACACAATGATTAAATCGAAAATGGAGCTAAAGGTGGCTATGGCAAGTCAATAGGATAGAATCTACCTAAAGGATGAATTTCACAGAATTTATCCCGTTTTTCTAGAATTCATTGGAAAAAAAATGGAAAATCGGGTTGAAGATTGGATATGGCAACTTGGGATCTATTCCATTTGGAGAATAACTTTTCAGATTTTATCCTGTTTTTTGTCAAATTAACTGAAAAAAATGGAAAATCGGAATAAAAATAGCATATGGGAACTTCGGGTATTATTCACTTGTAGCATGAATACTCAGAATTTACCCCGTTTTTCTCGAATTCACTTATCAAATGGAAAATCGGGGTAAAGATGGCATATGGGAACTTAGCGTATTGCTATCACTTGCGGGATGAGTTCGCAGAATTTACCTCGTTTTTCTAGAATTCATTGAAAAAAAATGGAAAATCGGGTTGAAGATAGCATGTGGGAACTTAGGGTACTATTCACTTGTAGTATGAATGCTTAGAATTTACCCCGTTTTTCTCGAATTCACTGATCAAATGGAAAATCGGGGTAAAGATGGCATATGGGAACTTAGCATATTGCTTTTACTTGCAGGATGAACTCGCACAATTTATCCCGTTTATCTAGAATTCGATGAGAAAAAAGCATTGAAAATCGGGTTGAAGATTGGATATGACAACCTAGGATCTATTCCATTTGAAGGATAGGGGATGAATTCTCAGAATTTACACCGTTTTTCTGGAATTAATCAGAAAAAAACCGAAAATGAGGGATGTTCCGAGTTATAATTTATTCCAATTTTAAGATAAATGGACACGATTTAGCCCGTTTTCAGAATTCATTGAAAAATTCATTTGGCATGTCGAGATATATTCTTTTCATGAGATGAATTTTTTTTCTAGAATTCTCTGAAAATAATGGAAAATCGGGTAAAGATTACAAACCACAAGTTGGGACATGTTTCACTTGTAGGATGAATTGCCTGATTTTACCCCATTTTTACAGAATTCTTGGAAAAATGCAAAAAACCGGGACAAAGATTGTATATGACAAGTTAGGATGTATTCCATTGACAGGATGAGTACTCAGATTTTACCCCGTTTTTCCAGAATTGACTCAACAAACGGAAAATCGGGATGAAGATTGATTATGAAAAGCTAGGATGTATCCCACATGTGGGATTAATTGTCAGATTTTACCTTACTTGTCTCTAATAAACGAAAAAAATGGAAAATTAGAGCTAAAGATTTGATTTGGCAAAATTGGAAACTCGGAGTAAAGATAGCATATGTGAGCTAAGGGTATTATGAATTCTCAGAGTTTACCCCATTTTTCTAGAACTAAT